GGCGGTGGCGGCGGTGGCGGCGGCGGTGCCGGGGGTGGTGGTGGTGGTGGTGGCGGCGGCGGAATGCCACCGAGACGCGACAACCGCGGCGGCGGTCCTGGTGACATGAACCGTGGTTTTCCGCCACCACGAGGCGGCCCACGCGGCGGCGGCGGCGGCGGTGGCGGTGGTGGAGGCGGTGGCGGCGGCGGCGGAATGTCCGGCGGCCCACCAGATCGCGGATACGGCGGTAACTCGCGCGTGGGCGGCGGCGGCAGCGGCGGCGGCGGCGGTGGTGGTGGTGGTGGAGGCGGCTACGACGGCGGTCGTGGCAGCGGCGGATACGGCGGCAGCGGAAACCGAGGCGGTCCGCCACCCTACGGCGGCGGAAATTACAACGGTAAGAAGGAATCTTGATGATCCACTTAAGCGATGATCAAAGGGACATCTCGATCTAGTCTTTCAATCGGAAAACCTGAACATCCTTGAGCCTCGCGGTAGAGATATTAAAGTTTTGTGATGAAAATTAGAATGAAATACAAGCATTATTCCGTTAAATCTTTGTACGTCGTCGAAATATTCGGAATTTGTGTTTATCCGTGAAATACGAGTCGTTAATGTTTCTTTTGTCACAGGTGATGGATGGATGCAAGGAGGTGCGCCCAATGGCTTGGGTGGCGGTGGTAACACGGGAATGGGTGGCCCACCCATGGGTGGAAACAACCAAGGCAACCAGGGCAACATGAGTGGAAACAAGACCAGTACACAAGTCACCATTCCTAAAGATGTAAGTCGACTATGAGCTTACTACCCGTGTTTATCTTATACTTGGCGAAAACTTAAATATTTGTTGCATTAATTTGTTATGGATAAATATCCGTTATGTGTAATGATGTCGCCTTGTTTGATTGAAGTCTATTTGATCTTAGTCTAGATGTTGAAATCTTATCTTTGTTTGCAGTTGGCTGGAGCTATAATTGGCAAAGGTGGTGCGAGAATCAGAAAAATCAGATCCGACAGTGGTGCTGGAATAACTATAGACGAGCCACTGCCTGGTAGTAACGATCGCATCATCACCATCACTGGGATTCCCAGTCAGATACAAATGGCCCAGTACCTGCTGCAGCAGAGGTAATTGCTATGACAGATATTCCTATCATGTACTTAACATTAACATAAGAACCTGCTTTTTATTTCATGTTAACACTGTAAATACTGCCTTTATATTATATAGACAGAACTTGGAATCGAGCATATTTATTGTTAAAAGCGTCATTAAATAAAGATAGAAGAATATATCACGAAAAGCCTTGATGTTTAAATATATACATCTCGTAACAACGCGATAAAAATTGTGCGATATAATGCTTGTATGACATTGTAATATTTATATTATCATATCATGTGCCGCCACTTTATAATTTTGCGAAGCTTTGCATAAATATCTTAACGAAATGAAAAAAATAATTGTTAGAATAAAATCGAAGAAGGGAAAGAATTATATAATCCATATGTATCTCTAATTCTACCTTGAATCTCAAAAGGTATAATTAACTTTATAAACATGTTTGTGGATGCAAGATAAAACCGGTTTATAGTGCGTTATCGTTCTATGACTGATATATGAGACACACATTCAGACTCTTCGATTTTATATGCTGCTGTGTCTAATCATACATTGGAGTACGCTCCTTCGTCGTTGTCATGCGCGATAATAATTTCTCTAAACTTCATCCACTTTATAACCGGCTGCCATCGCATCGGATAAGCTCATCACATCCCTAGGAACTAACACAATCCGACTAACCAAACGATCGAGGCGAACTATAATATTCGCAAAGGTGAAGGAGTCGGAAAGAGAGATATGGATGGAAGGAGGACGACGCGCTGAAGGAATCTTTAGCCCAGCGTGAGGAATGGAGCACCGTTGTATGGAAGACTAGTGATTTTGTTGTTCTACTTTCGATGTAACAAGGAATCACTAATCATCCTACAAAGGCGTTCAAGAACTTCGCCTCTGCCTGAGAGACCTGCTTTCGGAACTAACATCATTCCCGCTGCGCTCCGTTTGCTCATCGACGCGCCGTAATTTCACGCTAATAAACAGTAACACTTCCTTCAACAATGTGACTGTAATCATCAAGTAATTGCAGCCAGATAACGGTTGTAGCATTTACTCATATTCGAGCCATCTTGGATTCCTGATAACTCCTTGTAACCCGATTCTATTCTTGATGCATACTAATACAATTAAGGCTTTGTGCGCTATTGTCATTGCGATTTATTCCAAATATGTTTATAGTGTCGCTCAAGTACAATATAAATTAAGGCTTTTTATATCGACGATTATTTAATCTTATTTACGTAACATGAGATGCTTGGATTCTTGTCATTCTGCGTTTTGTTCCCTATAAATCATTTTTAGAAAATAGTTTAACGAGAGGAGAAAAATTCTCGTTAGGAGAGAAATTAAAATGTAAGAAAATATGCTATTATTGTTTTAACTTCATTAATGTCATTTATCGTCGTAACTTTCATTTCCCTTGGCTGTTTTCCTCAATACTAATTGTTATTGGCCTTCGACTGAACGAAAACTCCGTTAATCTTTCTGTTCCAGCGTACACGAGAATGCAGATCATTACTAAGCGTGGTGAGGGATGCATTCGGGGAAGAGGGGAGCCAAAGATGCGCTTTTATAACTTTTTTTTAGAAATATTTCTTGGGCAAACACATACAAATGCTGAAAGTGGAACCTGAAACAAGTACATTTGACATGCACCTGCAGAAACGCGCGCAAGAAACTGGGATACTTCCGGCAAAGTGTTGCGCATAGGGAGATAATTCATAGAAATTACACCACATAGACACACACACATATATATATACACACACCACCCGCGAATCACCCTCTCCCAGGAAGATAAACGCTTGTGGTCGATGCTAACGTGACCTTTGACGTGGCGATCCTTTTCAAGGATGGTAGTCGCCCATTGCAGCCTGCAGAGTAAATCGATTCACAAATCGAGTACCGTTAACGTTTTCGATGTCGGCCTTTCTTTAGTATAGAATTCTCTTATTTGTATCGTGTCCGCGAGGCACACATACTGTCGATGTGACAGCGGGGGGGTTTCAAACTGGCGAGCAACCGCACCATGTTCCCCGATGTTAGCATTCCCAAGAAAACACATTTTAATGGAAATCCAAAGAATGATCCATTTTTTTTTTTTACCGTCAAGTGCGCGCTATTTCGCAGGCAACCATCGTGTATCTTCTTATTTTTTTCTTTTTTTCGTTATTAGCTCTTCTCTTTCGCCCGACGAAAAATCAATGTATTTTAATTTCGAATTATACAGATTGTGCCAACGAACAATCGAGACGCTGGCGCGAGACAGCCAATTTGAAACCGTTAGACGTGACTCTCTTGAACATCGAGACCTGACAACGCACACTTTTCCCATTACGTTTCTTTCCAGCTTTTTGATGAATTCTTTACAAATTCTAATCTTATGGAAATAAGAATAAATGCGCATAGAATGAATGCGAGGGCAACAGTGTCGAAGGAACGGAGAGGTCGAGCGAGAGAGAGAGAAAGATAGATTTTACTAGGTAAACGCAGGAAAAGAACTGACAAAGTGTATTCGCAAAAAGAAACTGTACATAAGACCCACTAATGACCTTTTCCCCTCCTTAATTGCCGCATATATATGCGTTTCTGCTGTTGCATTATTATTGTAGTTATCATTAATTATTATTACTATATAATTATTGATAAGAGTACTTTTGCGTTACTATATCCTACCCTAAATCTGTATTAATCACACCCTTCATCCCCTAGCAGACGCGTAAGCATTCTTAGCGCTATAATGGGTAGAAATATTTAGGCTTAATGAAGAGACATAAGTTTAAGGGGGCACCATCGGCGAAGAGCGAACCGTTACCGAACGCGATTGGGTTTAGAAATGATAAAGACGAAACTGAAATCTGCTACGAAATCCGTCATAGTAGTGATGTAATATTTTGGTGAACCATTACTGTTCCATGTGTTCTTTGACGAGTGTGAATGAAACATATTTTCCAGTTCTTTTTTTTTTCCATTCGCCGTGCAGTTATTTTTTTATATTATATTGTACAGGATCTTGCGAGAAACGTGCGAATTCGTGTGAATCAACGTAGATTGGTCTAAAATTGTGACGCTGTTGCCACTGCTATATATATTTCAGCAGATTGTCCGTTACAATCACCCTCGTCGATGTGTAAAATCCTTACGCTGAAATCCCGATACGAAAATGCGATCGCGAATATTTTAAAGATAACAGCCGGATTCGGCATACAACATGATCTCTGTAAATATGTACCTCTACTATATAGCCACCACCTTGAAACATGACTGCTCGAACGGATGTACCTTTTTGACAAATAGCGGCCGTGTTGATGATTTTCCAAGTGCAATTAAAAACGATTGTACTGAAAGAAAGCATTATTTAGCCATCAAAAGTCATTCGAGCGATCGTAATCGCGAAAGCTCCGTCCCGGACGTTCGATTTAATACTCGAGCGAGTACGCCCGGACATGGCTAAGTAATGTCACTTTTGAACCCGTTGGAGGGTTGAATATTGTCATGATGTATGCCGGGCTACATTAAAGTCAGTACAACCTTTTTGACGGATAAGAAAAAAACACAAAGGAAGAAGTATGGTCAATGTAATAATATAATTCTAATCGCCGTTTCCACTTTTCCCGCGTACCGATGGTCAGCCCCGAGTTAACTCGTAATATCCTTTCCTCTTTCTCTCTCTCCTCCAGCCCCCTGGAAAGTACATTTAGTCTGGTCAGTAGACGTCACCCCTATCAGGGTGCCTACAAAGGGCATTTTTAAGCATCTTGACCATGGACCGGTGTCCATTATACAGTGGTGTACCGACCAGTAGGCAGTAGGTGACGCATTCGCAGTCTGTTACACTTTCGGTGTCGCCGCCCGCGGATTTGCATATGTACACAAAGGGCCCGAGCAATGATACGCTCGGCATGAAATGTCAAGTGAAATCACGATCCGTATGTAAATTTGCGTGTGCGATGGACTTTGCAAAGAGTTAGCGATCTCCCGTTATTCTCGCAACAAGATTCCGGCCGACTGTTCACAGAGGAACGAGCGCGATTGTCTGTGACGAGATTTCCCTAATTCTTTTTTTTCTTCTTTCCTTTTTGTAAATTGTTTTTTCGGTTCTGTTACCATCGTATATCATTGTTCAAATTCGAGAGAGTAACACAGCGCCGAGAAAAAATATCCTCGCGTGACGCTCACGTTACGCCAGATACGTGTTTTGTATATTTATTTTTTTTTTCGATTATTTCTTGAAGCTAGAGATCGAGTAATATTATTTCAACGTCGGAGGAAATGTCACGACTGCCGATCTATGTGAACAGTTCCGCGGGAATCGTCTCGGCCCGCCGAGGTCCGCGTGGCAAAGGGGATCGCGGTTTCTCTCGTTTGAACAGGCGTGCGAATGAGACCGCAAATGAATCAAAAACTATACCGCGCGCAGCTTCGTCCGCGTGTTATGCATTTTTCGTCTAACACACAAACACACACACACACGTACATACACTTGTTAACTGTAACCCATTTCACTACGACGAGGCACATGAGCACGCGTGAATGAGTGACAGTGCGTGAGGATGCGTGTATAGACGCGTGTGCTTGTCCGAGTGCGTGTGTGCATGGGGAAAATATCGACGCCAGATATATAAACCGGTTTGTTACAACTGGGCTTTTGGTATTGCGAGAGGATTGAAAGAGATGCATGATCACAAAAGTGGAAGAGAGAGAGAGAGAGAGAGAGCGCTATACACTCGTACGTATCACGATTACGTGTACTGTATAAGGTAAACAGTTTACAATTATTTGTAACGAATACTTTTTATTTGTCAAATAAAAGTTAGTACAAAGGAGAAGCCGCCGCGTTGGACATTTTTATCCCATCAAGTCAGCCGTCAAATCGGGCGGATTAAACCTGCCGCTACCTTTTGCGATATTACGATTTAATCAGTGTGAATAATTAATAATTCTTCTAAATAAAAAGGTAAGTTAAAGTTTTTTGCAAATAAAAATAATTTATTAAAATGAAAGTTAAAATTAAAAGGTATGATAAAATGCTTTGCGCGTGGAACTTGTATAGATAGATGTATCTAGATATTTAAATGTTCGAAACTCATTAAGTCATTAAACATGACACGTTTTCAAAAAGAGTGATAACCGTGAATGTTCCAATTACTTAGCAGAAAATTAGTCGATTTCTTATTGGAATCACGATAAATGTATAAAATGCTTTGGACTTGTATAGGTATGTTTAGACTCTTGATTATAGAGCGAGTTCTCGTCACACACTTGTCGCACTTTCAAAGAGGGTAATTGTTTTCCAATTACTTACCAGAAGAGAAAAGAAAACTAGTCGAATGTAATGAATCCTAAATTATAGAGCGCCTAGCGATACTCGAGTAAATAATTTGCGACTTTCGCGAGTGGACAATCAAAATAGAGTGGACATTCAGGTATGAGCTATTACTGAGACATTAATGCTATTCCATCGAATTTACTTAGGTATATTGGTAGAAAATTGAATGGCACGCAGCCATCGAGCCGGAAATGAAGGGTAGCTGCCGGTCGAAGAAATTACAGTACGCGTCCGACAATATATCCAGTCATTCGGTCCCTCTGGCATGTGCCAGTTTGTTTTTCATAAGCATTAACGCGGTAGCTTCGGGAAACATGAAGACATCCAAATTCGACAATTTAAAACATAGTGAGACATTAATTATTTAAATTTATTAATTTCCATGCTTAATATCTGTCAGTACCGATATGGTAATTATATTTATCTCTTCTGCGTGTAAACAAGTCAATATCCTGCCTATATCGTGTTAGGATATCGCAAATGTCTGGCGTACGGGGTGAAAAAATACCTGGGGTGGTTTCACATCTTTTGCGAGAATACGAGTCTGCACGGTTTTCGCTACATAACTTTAAGCGGATCGTCGATAATCGAAAATGTTTTCTGGTTCGTGGTGAGGATCTCCGTGATTCACAAGAGCGCAAGAAACGAGGTCAGTAATATATATATCCAGGAAATGCAATTTATTCTTATATTCGACAGATTTGCAAATCGTCAATTGTGTTCTGCGTTATACTGATGCTGCGCTTGTGGGCGAATTACTCGAACAATCCCATAGTGACGACCATTTACACGTCGAATTCGATATGGGACGTGTCTTTTCCGGCCGTCACTATATGCAACAATAATAAGGTTTACCGTCCACACGCCGACGGTATTGCCGAGTATTTGTAAGGCATTAATAAGTCTATTAATACGTTGAGTTGGGGTGCGAAGGGTTTGTTGGGTTTCTATGAAACCTTGTGCTAAATAAAATTGTAAATCTAAGTTTCTTTAAAAAAAAAGGTAATTAAAAAATTTTCGTCTAACAATTGTAAATGAAAAGAAAGTATATTGAAACACGGAAATTTTATTTCATCTGCTTTTTGCTAAAGTTTTGCTTTTAATCATATTTGATAAAATACGACAAATTTTCCGCACTCGTCTAATCAGTGTCGATCTATGTGCGAAAATCAGTTTAATTAATTTCGGGTCGGCGAAGTTGAATCTCCATGCCCGATATTACGTCCCGATTCTGCGCGATTCGATAGATACTCGAACGGATTCACCGCAGAGGACAGCGACAAATTTTTTTCATCTCTAATGAAGCTGATACGACCCGATAAAATTTCGATGGACAATGTGACCGCGAGACAGCTCCTCGATAATTTCGATTTCACGGTCGAAGCGCTCATGGAGAAGGTAAAAAATGATTAATGATTATAATCTGTGTTTCCACGGGAAATTTTATTCAGATGACGAAAAAAAATTCGAGAACCCTTAATTGATCGTGTTGCTCGCAGTTGATGCAGCCTTGCAGCGCGTTGCTTTTGAGATGTGCCTGGATCGGTAAGATTCACGATTGCGACAAGATCTTCAAAACGGTCAAGTCCAAGGAGGGTTTCTGTTGCGCTTTCAATTCCCACTACGACCTAAATGTCAAACAAACGTAATTCCCACGGATTTATATTATGCCAAGTTGGTGCTAAAGGTTCGTCATGCTTGATAAAGTTGCAGACAAAGTTTCAACACGATCATCGTTTTATCTCAGTTTCATCCAGGAGAAAAGTTCTTCGTTTCTAGACTTTCTAGTTTCTATCTTCAGAAAACTCTCTACTTCTTTGAACTTTATTTCATACAAAGCATAATAGAAAAAAAAATGACGAATCTTCGGCACTAACCCGATGCAGGCTCGTTCGACAATTAGACGCGTTATTTTACGCTTTCGTAATTATCCTGCCAGGTCCAACGACACGCGCTCCAATTCCACCGACTTCCACGTCACCTCTGACGATCTGCCGGGTGTGCGCAAAGTTCTGGTAATAACGCCCGATGTTCTCGCCTTAATTTCGACTGTGTTCCGGGATTGGGCACACGGGTGAATCTTAATTCTCTTTGTAGAACGCGCCCGGGAGCGGCCGCGACGTGGGACTCGCGGTCGCCCTGAACATCGAGCCCAATATGTACAAGGCTACTTCGCGCCCTTACGTAGGGGCCTCCGTAATGATACACGACCCGATCGATTTTCCTGATATCGGTGCACACGTCGCGTCCGTGCCACCCGGTCACGTCCTGGCGGTATCCGTTACCGGCACGTCCATTAGAGGCATGGAAAGTTTGCGGAACATGCCCCTAGAGAAACGTATGTGCTACTTCGACAACGAGGTAAAACTACGTGCCGCCCTGTGCGGCTTTGATTCGGCGTTGTTTTAGCGGGAGAACATTTGCAAACGCTTGCGCGATTCCTTTCGCGAAATTCCATATTTTACGTAATCGTAATGAATACACCTGCAGAAACCGGGCGAGGCTCGCTACAGTTATCAATCGTGCCTATCGGATTGTATAGCCGAGCACACATATCGTCTGTGCGGCTGCTTGCCGTTTTATTACCCGGAGGCGCGTGAGTGTGCACAAGATTATAAATTATTTAGTAAAACAAACTTTTAGACCGTAACACATACAGGTGCTGTATTCTGCAATTTTAATTTTATAACTTTGGATCTGAGGGATATTTTGGAGATGCATTAATACGATAATTGGTGATACAATTAATATGATATAATAATACTACAATAAAGTAAAATACAATTAAATATGATACATAACGCTATGATCTTCAATGTGCTGACAGATAAGGGGAAAAGGACATGTTACTTGCCTGACATAAATTGCCTTTTGAGCATTCGAAGTAAGAAAACGATTTTATACATATTAATCACACTTTATCAGATATATCGCTTATTTGATTGTACACAGTGCGATTTTTTTAAATTCAGAATTAATACCAGAACACGCGAAGACTTGTACGACTTGCCTGCCTCAGTGCACCGATATGATGTATCAGATCAATCCGGAAGATATTAAAATGGAAGACGTGGGATTCGACTCTGATCTAACGTGAGTCTACTCGTCTTTATTGAAAAGAATGTTAGCTTTTTCCTCGTGATGTACGACTGTTCATATTATTTTTACGAACGCGCAAGCTTATTCTCATACTTTTGCAGACACGGCTTCGATATAAACAATGTGTCCTTCGTGTATGTATTTTTCGGCGATATATCGTACGTCGAGTACCGCAAGGAGAGCATCATTAGCTGGGATTCATTACTCGGTGGGTTCGACGCTGATTAACCGGCGAGAGAGAATTTGCTTATATTCGAACTCGATCGCGATTTAATTTGATATCAGCTTCTAACCTAATGAAGTCGCGCGAATTGTTTCAGCATCCTTTGGCGGTATCTTCGGTCTCTGCCTCGGTGGTTCCGTGATGAGCGTAATAGAGCTGGTTTATCTCCTGGCCAGACAGCTCTTTAGAAGACAGCCCCGCAAAAGCCTGGAGCAATCGCGTGCAAAATTGCCGCCAGCGTCGGAGGTGTTCCTGTCGATCCCCGTTAGAGAGAAAGTTCAGCAGCTGAAACCGCGAGATCGTCAGAAATCGGATGACAAGCCTGTTCTTGTCACATGGTATCAACCGCCTCTTCACCATCGTAAAACGATGAATCTCACCGATGTTTATCATGTCAAACACGTTAAATTTTAAAGCACAGTCTACTTTAATCGAGTCGATATTTATGATAAAGCTAAAGATTGCTGAAAAACTTTCTATAATTTTCTATAATACCTTTCTATAATATAACTTTCTATAAACTTTCTATAATTAAAAAATGAAAGACATGCGCGTTCATGAATAATGTTTACGATTACTTATTAAGAAATAACTGTTTACGATTATTTATTACTGTAAAGAATAACTGACTTTCGTAATTTTGCGTGATTATTGTATCGTGTCTTTAATGCGGATAAATAGGATTACTGATCAATTGTTATCGCAATAATGCTATAATACAAATATTTCACATCTCGCTTTCCCTCCGGGTTGTTGGTGAAAGTAAGCGATCGGTCCTCTCTTGGCGCATTTTCTCTTCAAAATGTGCTCCGGAAGTAATAGTCGTTTCAAATGTACAAAAAAGCACGGACTCAGCATACAATAGAGAATGAAATTCGTCGAACTCGCTAGTGCGTTGAGAAGAGTCGCCCACATACGGAAGCTGCGAAAATACACAATGGAGTGAATAAATTATTGGAAAAATGTAAGAATGCACGGCTTGACATATATTATTCCAATTTGCATTGAATTTAATTATATAAAGTGGCTTTCTTTTATTTGAAAGAAACTCACTTATCTTCTATAATTCCGCCGTCATCTCGATTTAGATTTAAAATGCCTTCAAAAGTAGAAAGCTCGAATGTCGCATATTTTTCTTTTCCTACTTTTAATGACAAAAATTATATTTCTAACCACGTATCTCTTTTAACAGCGATGTTTTTCACGAGAAAAGCGTTTTTTTTTTTCCACGCGGACCGCACGTATCCTTTTGACTCAGTACCGCTTTAATAATTGTCACGTCGCCACATAGCGCATTCACCACTCACCTTTCCATGAAATCCTCGTGAACTTTCGAGGGATCACCGCCGTAAAGCAGAGACACGGCGCTGCGACGCGACGCCAAATGAGTTGGCAGCTCGCCCACGAGGAACAGAAATACGATGCCGACCAGCATGATCGTCAACCGGGCTTGATCCTGACAGATGGCAAATCAAGCGGTAAAATGAGGCAAAGCGAGAGACATTTTTTACGCGTATTGTTTGGAAATATTTCACGTAGTACTAGGCCAACTCTAATTAATGAAGGAAAACATAAAAAAAATTCAATTATAATAATTAACGGTGGAAAATTCGAGGAGGAAAAACGCGAGCTATCCACTACCGCGATAAGTGAATCAAAGTCATTCGGATACGCTATTCGAGGCGGTAATAGAAGCGCGGTTGTCTACGCAGCAAGCGACGACAAAGTTTTAATAATTGCGCTCGCAAAGACAGCGATGTTATCATCGATTTTCGAGGGAAACTTTTCCAATTACGCGGGACAACAATGACTCGCGCGAGACTCTGTTTCCGGATACCACTCGGTTCTCGGATGAGTTTCATGCAAATCGCGTACCGAGACGTTCTAAAGTGGTGGAGTACAACAGCCCGCTCATTCAAGGTTCTGGAGCAGGATAGAATCCTGAAGTGGCGTAGCGCGAGTTCAGAACTGATTACGATTTCTCTATAGTCCACGATCGAGAGGCTGGCTGTCCGACCTGTCGGAAGGCGTGTTTTTAGGTCAGAACTAATTACGGAACACGGTTCGCGGCCTTTTTCAGGAGTTGCCACGTAACGTGGCAAATGTACCTACGGCAAACATTCTCGCGCACGGATTCTCACACTGACATAGTTACCCGCAGGCGATTCCCTTCGCGTATGTTTCTACGCTTCAGCAGCATCTCTCGCTGCTTGAGGGCCCTTCTCACGGAGTACAACATAATAGCGTTCGCGATGAGCAGAAATGCGGCCGGCATCAGGCCGAATATTATGAATTGAAGCCAATTCTGAAGATTGTACGCCCTGCAAAGACCATCTCGACGTTATTTGGAGTTTGGTCCAGGCTTTTAGAAAAAATTGAATTTGTGAGAAGAATAACGGAAATAGCGTTGTTCGGGAAATACGGGGGAGGGAATATTAATGCGAGACTCCGCGGAGAGTTAGGGGTGGCTGAGAATATTTTAGGAAATTGAATGTGGGAATTAAGAAATTGGGTACAGGCACTAGGACTACACACCTTTTCGCGATTATTATTATTACTTTCTCATCGTTTCTTACCGCGAATGAAAAAAGTTGGTCGTCACCAGATCGCCACGCTCGTTGTACGTGTACATGAAGCAGTATGGTATATTGATCAAAATGGCGAAGCAGGTGGCGAAGGTCATCAGCCTGCGTGCTACCGACTGCCTGCAGAATCTCGGTTTTTTACATCGCGACATGCTGTAGGAATCGGATTTCGTTAAATTGTTTCGGCCCGTCAAGAATATCGTCTTCTTTCGTCGATAAATCGTCGATAATACAGCGCATTCGCTCAAATCTATAAATCTTTATCTGCGGGTCCAACAGAGTGATCTATAATTTCTGTGTCTTTACCTACAGACTATTATCAGTCTATCGATGCTCACGCCTAACGCGGCCCAGACTGTGATGTTCGAGGTAATTGAACCGATCGGGAAGTGAACGAACGCGTCGAATTCCAGCCATCCTCTGTAGCAACGAAAAATGCCTCTGGCCAGACTGGAGAAGACGAGCAGGACACAGGTAATCAGATCCGAACTCGCGAGCACTGGGTAAAAATAATATGCGTTGAACTTTTGATGCAATTAATGTTAGTACAATTAATATTACTTAGAATATCTTAAGCTCTCGAGCGTATATTGGACAATTCGGATTATCTGTAAATCCTCGCTGGCGACCAGTTCGGTTCGCATAATTGTCATCAAGAGCGATTACGCGGGATTCTCTCTGCGAGCGCATAACAATAATAAATCATCTCCGGCAGATGCAGGTGAATTCCGCATGTTAATTCATAGCCGATTCCGACCTCTCCACCGACCTACTAAATATGTATACGTCGACGATTTCAAGTATGTCTTCGATTTCAAGTGGACCGCGAGGATCAGGGAGTTGCCGATTATTCCGAGTGCGGAAACTACGGGAATGACCACGGTATATCCGATAATGCTCCACATATTCGGCTCGATCGTCCACAGCCCGTGATTGTACCGGTCGGGGTATCTCGAGGATCTCGTTCTGGAATTAAATCATAGTCAGTCTCGGATATTCTGAGAGCGCTTTACATCGCGGGCTTACAACAGTCACGGGTTTATAACTTTTACCATGGGTCACTCACCGTTTGCACATCACGATCATATTGTACAGTTCAGTGATATTCGAGTACACGCTGGATCTCATCGCACTATACATCTCGTGTTGGTGCACTTGCGACGAGAGATCTCGACCCATTTCCTCTTTAGAGGGGGGGGGGGAGCGATCTCTACTCCATTCTTGAGAATATCACTTCAGTTCTGCAAGCTGGCGTAAAGCGTGACATTACCGTTAGGCTAGATTTTTCAAGTCATTCACAAGTTGTCATTAGTTGAATCGAAGCTTAACGAACATCGGAGCACGATGAAGGGAATTTATGAAGGGCAGCTCAGAGTCACCGTCGTTAGAAACTTCGGCGAAAGTTGCCGATTAATATTTCCGTCGGTGCAAAGCGCGAAGTACTTTCTCAGTGCTTTTGCTCCGCACTTTTCTCAAAAGTGATTACTGAGAGTGATTTTTGAAAGTAATTTGCAAGCTCGGAACTGATATAAAATACACGAATCGCTTTGGCGGAGAAATTAACGGTTAACAATTACAATGCGTTAAATCGCCAATTTACACGAACGAATCGCGTGGCTGCCGAAAATGGGACTCTTTAAACGAATTCCAAAGAGAGAGAGAGGTATTCGCACCGCAAATGCAATTTCCATCTCAAAGTGTTATCGACGCTCGTTCCCCGCGGAAAAACGTGAATAAAAGGTCACGTACCCTCTAAACGCACGAAAGGTGTTTTAAATGTTTCGCAAACTGCTTTATCCCTGCCATTTGATATTTTACGCGACATCAATTATAAACACGGCATTTTTATTTGTTCGAAACGCGGGTTATATGAGACGCTTGTCCGTACTAATGCAGATTGTATACCTTAAACGCCAGTAATCAGCGAATAGTGCAGCTCGGCTTTATCGAGATTGCACTGTTTGACCTATTCGGGTCTACCTCTAAATTGGCTCGAAAACGCAGCCTTGATGTCAGACGATCTCGCTTAATGCGCGCCCGACAGTACCGATAACTCTCGCGAGTTACGACAAACGAGAGACGCCTTTGACGTGCAAATTGTTAGCTTCCATTAAGTGACCGCGTCAACGTCCGCGATGGGATCCCGTTTACGAAACTGGCAAACAATAATGAATTTTTCGACGGAAAACTATCGCACCGGTAAACAGACGGATCGGTTCGTCTTCAGGCGAGCCAAAATTCAGTTTTAATCGCGCGCGACTCGACTAAATCCGTCATCGGGGAATGCTTAAGGATTCGCGACGCGGTCGTTATACTGAAATATATCATCGAAATTCCGCGGCGATACGGAGAGTTTTCCCGTATTCTGGTGGGGCTTGTTTCCGATAATACCCCGATAATGGGTACGCAAATAGTGCGTACGTGGAATGATACGGCATCGCTGTGCCAGTCCGCCGCGATCGATTGAGCATTCGCTGATATCTTGCGCGCGGGATGACGGATATTTCCCCAACGAATCTCAAATTGCGCGTCTCTCGAGCTGCTGCAGACCGAGCAAACGCGAACGAATAACTGACGGATAAGTTCGCCACTCGTTGAAGCGAACTGTTTGTTCACGTTCGTTCGCACTCGCTCGCTCGGTTTGGGCCCTTAGCGACGAGCTGGGGCCATTTTTATCTCCGCAATTTAAGACGTTATCGTTACGATTACTGGCGAGATATTTGCGAAACATATATGTTATACGAGAAGAGAAGCATCGGACAGGACGGACAGTTCAGTTTTGTGACTGATGTATCCATGGAAACCGCGATAGCATTATCGATCGTACGGTCGCGACCACTTTTCGGTCACCCTTGCGACATTAAGTTAATGATGTCAAAAATTTAGAACTCGTTCTTCATAACGCTTTGCGAATATTTTAACGTCGTGCCAAGGCACGACGACCTGTTAGATTTGGGATATAACAGACTCTAAAATTTACCCGCCGTCGCTATGCCCGCGGCAGCAAATAACGTTATTAATTTTCATTTGCGTTACTGCCCTTTTGAAACGACAACATCGAACGCGTCATCAAACAAATAACGGACATATCTATAACGAGTTTGTGACGTTGGATACCTCTCACACGCAAAATGCAATAGGCCGCAAAGTATTTTTGCGTACACAATGCTAAATTTGTTATATTCCTTTGATGCATGACATTTGTTTATTATCGGTTCGTTTCGCGAAATAAATGATCCGTGCGATTCGTCGCAAATAAACGCGATTCGCCCGATTCGCGATCGGCTCATTTACCAGAGGGACCAATTACGAATCAATCGGCTTTTCTTCGGCGCACAAACAAGATCATTTCGCGTACAAATCGCTATGATCGTCTCTCCCTGGGAGACGTAGATTCTCGCTACAAGTGCGTTCTACTAGAACAACGACGCAATAGTTCACGGATAAACAACTGTTGTTTATCTATTAGAATTTATTTCAAAATAATATACTTGACATGGTGTGGTGTCATTATGTGAAGTAAACTTTTTTCATTAAAGATGAGCGTATGTTCTCCGAGAAAAGAATTGTGATTTTGAAGAGAAAATTTTGTTGCGCTTTTTAACGGGAAAGTATGTAAAGAGGAGGAAGTTGGAGAACGTTTGTAGGTATCCGAGAGCACACGAGAGATTCGGTTAGTGGATAAGCGGATGCTGGAGTTCTTAAGACGGAATTGTTGGAATTCACGGTGTCGCATCTCTCAAAGCAGCGCACAGTTGAGAAACGGCTCGGGAATCTAAAATTTCGAAATGTCAAGACATGACACGCAATAATACGCGATTGCTTCCCGGCTGCACGTGTCCGTGCGCTTTAATTACCGAGGCATTTAATTAAAACTTTACGTTCGAGTCTGCGGCGGGCAGAGCCTCACTCTGTTCCTCCTCATGGTGGTTTCCTTCGAAATTTATTGACTCTTTCACGCTGCGGATACCGCAGTTTCGCGCACACCCCGGAAATTCCGCTCGCCACCGTCACGAAACAATTTCGATGGCCACTAAAGCTTGCGATCGCGTCGTATTTCTCTTTTCCGATCACGCCGTATAAAGTTTGAAATTTATCGCGGAGCACCTTACAGCGCGGAGTAAGTTCAATCGCACGAAAATTCCGTTCTATCATTGGTCGCGTCGTCCTTCCAGAAAAATGAAGGATCCCGACTGGACCTCGTTTATTCGGTTTAAAATAAAAACGTGAGGGAATCGAACTTAGATATAGTTTGGCCGGATTTTTAACACATCTGTCCTTGATCTGACGCACGAAGCGTGGAAACGAGCTTCGCAAATGAGAGGATTTAATCTTGTTCGTGCGCGGCCACGCTCGCCGCGGATTTCCGCGCGTCCGTATGGAATGTGTGTACATACACGCGCGTTGGACGATCTGTTTTCCGGCCGTCATAAGGGTCGCGCGCCTGCAGCGTAATTTAAAATCCCATTCTAATCCCTTTGCCACTTTAAAAGTCGGGATTTATCGAGGGACGCGGCACGGTTCGAGAAAGGCCGCGTGAATAAATTTTTATTGTACACTCGCGCGTGGGCGATGTAACAGCAGCATTTAGCCTCGCTGCTTCACCGCCTCTTTCCTTTATTTTACCTTTTTTCCCCCTTTTATTATATCCCGCATTTTTATACGTGGGCGTCGTCGATTCGGCCTTGGCTGTTCGTCGTCGTCGTCGTCGTCCACGGTGAAATTATCTGAAAAGCTTCCTCGGCCCTCATGAGACAAGCCGTCCCTCTCTGTGTTTCTCGCCGGGGGCGGGCGTCGGCTTCGCAAAGTTTTCCCTCTCCGGTAATCGGCGTTGAAATTCAATTCGCCATTTTAAATAAAAAGTTATTCCAATGCACGTCACAGGGGAAAATTTTCATTCGTTGCGGCTCAACGGAGAACGTAATCTCGCGCAATATATCTTGATATCGCGAACCCGTATTTGACACACATTGCGAAATTCTGGATTAAGTCCGCGTTCTCCGGGCTTTCCTACGTCCCTTTCTCGCCGTCTTTGATACCTTGACAAATACGCATCTGTATTCAACATCTGTATTCGCTTCATCCCGATTCGTCCCCCTGATGTCACCTCTAATTCCGTGCTATGTTGCCGCAAACATGTTGCCGCGAGATAGTTCATAGATCGTTGCTCGAGAGCTCGAGCCCCGTATTGTTCTATACCATCGCGAGATTCATGTACGCAAATAGAGGCTGAGTAAGTGCAGCGTGACAATTGATTAACGCGGGATGAACGACCGCGTCAATCAAAGTTTCGAATCAGCTGTCGGTGCCGTTATTATGGCCCATTCTCTCCACGCCGCCGCCTGAATGCGGCGCGAATCAAGTTTCCGCGCCGATGCGATGTTTCGTACGCGGATCTTAATCAGAACCACCTCTCGAGCCCACTCCTCGTACAAAGTCGCCGGGAACGCGCTTTATCTGCATCACTAGCGATGCATTGCTGACGCGTCTCTCTCTCTTTCTCTCTATCGTGAAAAAGAAAAAGATAAAAGGGAAAAGAGAGGAGAAGCAGCGAAGATAGGCTGGCGCATTGTCTTCACGCGACCGGAAAGTCTCTTTTCGTCTCGGCGAACACTCGAAAGGGTCACCGGTCTGTGAATAGAGGATACCCCGTTCCTCCGCCGCCACTTATCGCCGGTCCTTTATTTATCGCGCTCCAGAGAGACTCCGGGAACTCCGACGGGGCTGCTGACATCATAGAGACGACGGAGGTGGCAGCGACCAGCTACCAGGCTCAATCAAGAGTCCTATCGATCTACCAATCATCGAACCGAGTGACACGCTTGTCACCTGCTCGACCGTGCGTACAGGTGTTCGTATGTGTTACGTGTTCTCGGAATGCACGGTACGACGTGCCGCAGCGTGCGTCATGGCAGATGGTTGTCGACGTTGCGAACAGAGTTACAATGAACAAGTTACTACGGACTTTGAGATTTTCCGGCGAAAAGGCGACAGAAAGGGAAAGAGAGCGACGGGAAGAGTGCGGACAGCTTTGATGGGTCACTAAGAAGATCGGGGATTAATTTTTATATCTTTTTCGCGCGGGGGTGGTTCAGGCTGAGATTTCGTGTGAAGACGGAAGGAAAAAGTCTGCGAGTTAATAGGATTAAAAATAACTCTGATACTTCTATCGAACGTTCCATCGCAACGTCGTCATCCCTGTACAGGCAGTTAATTAAAGAGAGAACGGGGCAGCAGGGAGCGGGGAGGGGTTGAACTTTAGGCTCCTAGAGGAAATTCCGCGTTCCGAACTTCAAAGGTTTTCGAAGTTGATAAGCGAAGGTCGTGTTATGTTAAAGATAAAAGCGACATGTGAGACAGGCAGAGGGCGGAGGCGATCTCTCTCTCACGGTGCGCTCACCGCGGTTTGTATCATAATTTAGCTCCCGGTAATATAATCCGCATGTCGATACTATAAAGCTGCTTTGACACTCCGTGAGAGATACCGAGAGATTCGGCGCGCACTCGTCTTCTCGCTTGCACCCTTGAGAACTTGCGCAAACTAGCGCGGATCGGATTTAATTCCTCCCGGAAACGGGAAACCACCGTCCCTCGTCCCTCTCTATCTCCACGCTCTCTTCCACTTCGCGCTAATTTAGCGATGAGTGTAGTGTCGAATGGATAACAATTTTACGTAATTTGCCGATCGAAATTCCACTTTACGATCGATGAATTGCGTAAAGTTATTAGCGCGTAGGACGGAGAATAGTACAGGGAGAAGGGATGACTCATTCGTTTTAAGACACCCTCGTGGTATTGGTTTAATCGGAGCAAACGCGAATTTTCAACGGACGAGGCTCCGTATCTTCTACAGAAGCCTCGGCTTAGCACAACGTGTGACAACGATTTGCTGTAGTTAGGTATTATCGATGTTCCGCACGGAGACTGTTGCTCCTATCACGCTTTGTTTTGTTTCCGAGACTCGTAGCCCTCTCCACGTGTGTGGATCGATTCCTCCGATATATCGGCGAGCCTCCCGAATCCGACAAACACTCGGACCGCACTCGCAATCCTTCTCTCTCCTTCTCTCTCACTTCTCGACGGCGGGCTCTTATTTTTTCAGTAAATTGTGACAGCGGGATGCTCCAGACAAATATTTAAACCCTTGCTGTAAATATTCTTTGTTAATTAATGACGTACAGGTGTTTCAATTCCCATTATATCTGTATCGACCGCGTCGACCTGTCTTAACATGATTCTCTTTGTACTCCCATTGCGATTTCCGAGTGCAGAAAATTTCTCAAGTTTTATGAAGAAAAATTGTTCGATGATGGAACGCCAAATCTCATTTGCTTTCATTTAAAGTAGTTAAGAAGAAGTAACTACGCTAACTCTTTTGCTCGGGAAAGCAGCGGTAACAAGTTATTTTGTTGCGGTTATTATACCGCGCAATTGCGGTCATTGTTTTCGATTTACGGGTCTGTCTTGCGTAATTGTTATCGCTTCAGTGGCCACAGTCCTGAATATCGAGCCTGTATCCTAGGTACCCACCGAAAACATGTACGGGGCAAGACGGGTAGGCCGCTAACACGTAGCGTTAACATGTCTCGTAAGCTAATTAATTCCGTAACTCACGCCGTTACGGAATCCGGAAAATGTTGACACTATCCGCCGTTGGTATTTCCGCCCAGATAGTTTGCCTCGACATCGCAGCAATATTAATATTTACTCGTCTGTATCACGCGCGTGGAACTAAGTATCCACGGATTTATTACATGTCGCTCGTAATAACATATATTAATTACTAATGCATTGATATCTAATTTCCTCGTAATTTCCGCCGAGGCTGGAGAACAACCTTTTGTCGTCGCACTGTAATCGTCATTACGCAAACAATCGATCTCGCGCGAATCCCTCAGATTACACGTCGAAGGCCATATGGCGTTGGATTACGCGACATTTAAATTGATTCCATCCGAACGTTAATATCGCGCGCCGACTCTGTACCTGCTTTACTTCGGCGTCGACAGAGAAGAGAAGCCAACCTCGTTGGAAATAAGATCCCTCTCGTCAAAGGTAATCCGAAAAGACGTCCTTACGTAGGTATTGTTACGGCGAGATTTTTCCCTCGTGTTTCTCATAGAATATAAGAGTCTCGGAAAAATAGTTCTCGCTCATAGTAATAACGCGAAGCGAAGAAACCTGCCCGCGCTCTCAATCTCCTCCCGTGCCATGGAGCTTCGCCGCGTCGTCGTTCCCCCTGTCAACCCAAGAGCGCTTCTTATTTCATGAATTTACATTCCGGATCGTTTATCACCCTCTTACACGCGACGCACATCCGTATATACGTCGACTACGTAACCAGCCCCGACAATGCTCGTTCCCTTCAGAATTGAGAGAGATGCGGGAACGAGCATTGGGAGTATTTTGCTGAAACCGGGAATAATGTTCCTTGTTACGACGCTCCTTGAATTACTCTCCTCATTCCACAGGTCCACGTCTCCCGTCTTCTTCTCCCTCTTTCTGTCTACTTCTCAAGCTAAATAAGCTTTTTAATCAATTCGAAGCATATTACACTGTGTGTTGCACAAAGGAAACGCAGCGGGCATTTCTTGTTAGTTGTATTACCAGATTAGAGAAATTTCTCATCAAACACTGTACGTATAAAACTGAGCGGCGCATTCAATGGAAGCTAAATGAAGACTTCATCTTTTCTCGGTGCTGAGTGCGTATTCAACGATCTCGAATCTACACGCGAGAGTCAAGTGAACGCTTTTTAAATTGGTTTTTAGGATGCTCCGAGAGAACTCCATTCCTACCACTTCTCTCTATTATTCCGCACGATCTTTACGTTCTAAATTGTTACGCTTTTGTTTACACTGACGCGTCTATTATTAGACGAGAGAATTGCTTCTCCGGAATATCTCCAATGCATACATCCTTAATTTTATCATTGAGTTTTCTATCGCGTTACACGCGTTCCGTGACCACGAGCACCAGGTTGATCGAATTACTCTTCATGTCCTCTCTCATTCGTGTAACACGCACCCGAAGTAGCACGAGTCTAATCGAGGAAGGCTGTTCCAGCAATTTCGTTATCGCGCTCTCTCTCAACGATAATGTTGGAAAATTATCGTTCTAACAATTTCTCCGTTCGCAGTCAAGATATATAATTTTAAATTCCCTGAAGATCTTTCTCATTACGTTCGCGTACTTCTCTTTCTCTCGTTGGGCGAAGAAATAAAAAATTCACGATCGCAAAGTTAAAATCTTTCGTGACGGGCTGACGGGCTCGTTTCTCATTTCCACATTGTCGGCCGCCACAAAGCGGCCCCTTCACTCCATGACAATTGCGGCGGCTAGAGCGAACGAGAGGGAGACGATCACTTTTACGACGTTACCGCGAATCCACCCGTTCGCTGAGTTTTGGGGTGAGCCACGCTTGCGCAAGTCCGTCAAGGTGCCGGAGCCAGCGAGCGACGTGCAACAACCATGCGAGCTTCAGTTTTCGCCAGGTCCTCGTCGTGAAAAAAAGAGTCGCGGTCGCGCTCCGCAAAGACGAGAGGCATCCCTCGCGTTACATCCCGATCGTCCTCGTGGCGCGAGTCGCTCTCGTCGGCAGGAAACGATGAACGATGAGCACGCGCTTCGATCCGTAGATCGCGTCGCGTACCTGACAGCGTCCGGAGCCGGCGCGCTCAACGGTGCTATATCGCGAGCAGCTCTCGAACGAGAGTGAAAGCGCGGGTGGTGTTGCATGCGGAAGCGGCTGCTTTGCATTTCGTTCTTTATCACGCGACATGTAGGACCGATTAGATTTCCATCGGGAACACTTGATTCGTGACTCGTGACTCGCCCGGTGTCGGGCTTGTTAAATTGCAAGATTAACCCGCTCTGAATTAATGAACAATTACGTCGGTTAATTCTTCATGTGCTGTACGAGGCTCCTGCGAGCTCCTCGGCGGAGCGCGGGAGCCGTGCCGTCATTGATCTAAATCACGTCGCTTTTCGGGACTCGCCGGCGATCGGATCCCGTTGATCCGTTCATCGCGGCGCGAAGTTTTCGCGAAGAGTCACGTGCGGTGACCGCGAATGGAGGGGAAGACGAATTTGTGGCAAATTTGAGAAGTCACCGGCGGTACATGAGGACCCGTGAAGTTCCTAGTGAATATATGGCAACGTCCACGGTGGCGGATCATCATGACATCGTCGGGAGAACTTCCCCGAATGTTGCCGAACGCGTTCTTCCCATGAACGTCTGCCCGCCGAGCAACTTCCCGGACAAGTTTCAAGATTTCTTCGCGGCGCTTACCGAGGACGGCGACGACCTACCCAACATGCTCGAGGACAAGCTTATACCGAGGTGAGTACGGCAAATACCTATTTAGTAAAAACTTATCTTGGTACTGTAAGAGAACGGATAATTCTCTCGTGAAAGAAGGCAACAAGTAGTTTTATTCCAAAATGGAAAGAGGAAGAGATTTAAAAGAAGTAGAAAACGTTTTGTAGGAATAATAAAGAGAATATGAATATACATATTTATTGGCCGTCAATTAGGAAGAGAAACAATGTTAAAGTGTATTCGCTGAAATATGAAAAACTTAATTAACACTACTAAAGACAGAGTTATAAATTTTATAAATCAGTTGTCAATTAGCAGCGAAAACGTTATTAAAGTATCTTTACTGAAGCATAGAGGACTTAATTAAATCCTAAGCTCGAAATGGATATAATTAAATATAACTATAAATAGCGCTACGGGCGCTGATCAGATTAGCCTAATGCGATTAAATATTAAATAATGATCGATGCGATACAATATTGAAACAAGGGATAATTTGTGCAAATAGCTTATTTTAGCATCAAATATTATTATTTGCAGCTTTGAAGGTAACGCATCAGCTTTGACCATCAGCCTTTTGGACGTTTCAACAAGTGAAACATACAAAATTTTAGCCATCTGAACGCTTTACGAGTTACGAATTCAATAATACCATAATACTACTCGGTAACGCAATTGAGAACTTCGTAACTTTATCTCGAAATTACATTTCTCAATCTAGGGAGTCTCAATCCGAACTGTTATGCTGATATCGTACTGGAGTTCGCGGCATGTAACGAACATACGCGTGGGAAGTCTTTGGTATTGGTTAAAGCCATTTGAGAATCTCGAAATCGGATTAGAGCCTGTCGCGCGGCGATTCTGCGCTATCTTCCGCCGCGCCGCGAGTAATGAATCAATCTTCCACGAAACTGAGTTTAATACGGAGGAGCGGAAATAGAGCGGCGATACTCACAGGGAAAATCGATAGCGCAATGCGTGCGTAAAAATAGGATTATGCCGCTCCGAAAGTTGCCTCGCGAAATGAGGGATTTGCCTGCTAAACCGGAAATTTGCAGAAAGCCGGATGGCACGGGCGTCGACGCGAAAAATCGGCGGACCTGGAACAAACGGACCTTCCAGAGGCGGAGCAGCGAGGTCGAGGTCCGTCTCCATCATACCTCGCTGTCCGGGTCTCAGGGTCACAGCTGCGTGGACGGACCGAAATCGCCGACCTCGAGGCGCAGAAGTTCCAGCATCGCGGTTGCCAGACCCACGCCGGACTTACACAGGTCGTATCCTCGTAAAAGTGATTGATCGTTGACTCATATAGTCCGCTTGACGGCGTCCGTACGGCGATCAATCTGTCTGACGAGCGCTCCAAAATAATCCTTACCCGCCTTAAATAAATCCGAGACCGATCACCGGCGCTGGAGCTTTTCACCGAACCGCCGGAATGTAAATTGATTGGAAAGTCTTGGATTTATGGGAGGGATTTTCCACAACCGCGCGGCACGTGCCTATGATAACGATTTTATTTTCGCGTGGCAGATTTCTGCAAGCGGAGGCCGGTCCCTGGGGTCACCTGTCACCCTCGCCTAGAAGTCCGACCAGAACGCCGGCCTTGAGTCCTGGCGCCGTGTCATCGTCATCTCATCTGAGCGCGAGCGCGAGCCCAAGCGGACCCAGTCCGACGAGTCCCTCCGGTTCAGCTAGCTTGACGTCTGGGATTCGCGGAGGCCCCGGCCCCAGGCAATATCGCAGTAGAACGAGCAGCATGCCGGCTGTTCCACGTCACAGGGTAAGGGATATGATAAAAAGCGTGAAACGAGCGAGTCTCTTAAATTTTCGGTAGGAAAAGGGAATAGGGAAAAGGGAAAAGGGAAAAGGGAATATCCCTTTCGTGGGATATTTCGTGTATTCTCTCTTGCCCTAATACGGAGAGGAAGAGGGGAAGAGAGAGAGAGGGACGGAAAGGGAGAGAATAATTTACAATTCGCGAGCTCGATATAGGGAAGCAAATATAGCGAAACGCGTAACGATGAGCCTCACGTTACATAAATCGATGGCGCACGTGGCTGAGTTAATTTCCTCGGTTATTGTGAGCGATACCTCGAAGCCGTTGCCGAAAGACTTTCCTTGTAACGACGGAGGCGATTCACGCGTATCGGCGAGTGAAATGAACACGGAGTGCGTAAATTCCGCTGAATAGCGTACGGCCGCAGCGCACAATGGTGTTGGGAATATCGCTGCCCGTGGCTGTCGCTTTTTCCGAATTTCATCGAAATTCCACGTAACGTGATCGCGGAACGCGGAAGCTAAAAATATAAAATCGGAACGCGAGCGCGACGAGGCGCCTAGAGAAACGCCGGCTTTTCCGCATCGTTGATTAGCTTTTTCTTTTTTTTTTTTTTTCCCTGGAAGCTGTTGATGTATTGCGTCCGTTGGGACTTAAAATTGAGCGAACCACCCCCTTGCAAACGCTAGAAATACCAAAAGAGAAACAATTAATCATTTTAATTCATTTACAAAGAAGATTAGTTTATCTTCTTATTTTAAGAGAAAAAAATCTTTTTTTATTAAGAGTCTTATTAATTCTCATGAAGTCACAGCTTCTGTATAAAATGCATCCTTTGGCCGATTTGGTCGACCGATCGTCGTTGAATTTAGCGACGATTGACGCAGTACACCACCACAGCAGACGATACCAAGGACGACACAAATCCGCGAGGACTCCGCGAGTTTAAGCCTCGATGTTGAGCGCTAGTCCGACTCTGTGACCACCTCTGGTGACGTTCGCGCAGTCGATGTTGAACGAGAGGATCAGCGTGACACCGTCGCTGATCTTCTGCAGAAAGCTCGTGGCTAACTGGAGATCGGTGTTGAACTTGAATCGCAGGGTCGACCTCTCGTCGATCTTGCACTTCGCCGCGGCGCCGACCGTCCACTTTTGAACGTCGCCTCGTTTCCCGTATATGCCGTTCGCCGCGATGTCCAGGTCGGGTCTCGCTGAAAAGCAGACGAGACATCGCAATTGATAGAACGAGACGGGAGGATGAAGGATACTCAAACATTTATGCCTCAATTTAAAAGTACACAAATCAGATTGCAATCGCCCCTGATAACGTTCCTGTTAATTAACGCAATTAAGAGTTACGTTTTAAGCGAATAATTTTAACCCAATTTTAAAAGCGAGGTCATCGACGTGCGACGTTACGTAGTTTGCGCAAAATCCCGACGGTGTCGGTTTACGGTTTGAGGTTTGCTGTACGTCACCATTGCACGACGCTGTCACATACCCACTACACGCTAACGCTGCTAATTATCGCCCTCTCCACCCTTGCCCTCCCGATTCCGCCAAGAAAATTGATAACGCCACCGTGACGTGCGCCGATATATGCTAAACGATTTGTATTACACGTCCGTATTCCGCTTATCCGAACACGGAGCGACGGGATCTCATTACGCTCGTCTGAGCCAGGCATCTTCAATTCCCCCATTTACTTAATACGCGCGAAAGACAGCGGTAATTTAGCAGTTCCGCTCTCTAGCCGACGACGACGAGGACGCGATTTCGCGACGCAATAGGTAATGAGTAAAGGGAGAGTATTACGGAGTAGACTGAAATTACTCCGTTGTCACGGAGGATGATTAGTCTTCCCGTCGGGAGACGACATCGGCGTTTCTCACCCCTCGCGCTAACTTCGGCGCGGAGGGCTCTGTCTAGGGAAAGATCACGTTACCTTCACCGTTTACCTTTGTACAACACGGAGAGCCCGTACACGTACGGTATGCAGGTGCACCGGAGGTGCAGGTCAATGTCGGCGCAACCGTAGACGACCCCGACGTCGTTCTTCGTCACCCTGTTCGAGGTCGCGTCGTAGCCGCCCTGGTACCCCAGGAGCAAATCCCGGCATTTCAGTACCACCGAGCCGAGCAAGCTGGTGCCTGAATCCGGATCGTTGGCTGTAAACGGGAAATTTCAGTAATTTCGACGATTCGACACCACGCGGATTACTCATCGTTACGTGTAACCGAATATGGAAAAGTTATATGGTGTTTCGATCATCACATTTGTCCATCGGGGAAAAAAAAAGAAAATTTAATTTTCTCGTTTGTCAGAATTTAATCGAATAAACTCTGTCGCTATTGGAATCCCTGAATTCCCAAATCACCTGCCTCTCTCCGCCCGCGCTTCTATTTTGGTTTTATTTCGCAAAAAATTTTCCTCTTGACGTTTTCGTATCGATAGAACGCGACAGCACGATAAACCGCACGACAGCGCGGCTATCCACGAGAGAAGTGCCCGTATCAATTGCCATCGCGGAAACTTGTGCTGCTCGCGGAAATTGCCGCGACTTGTTAGTAAACATTCGAGACACGCGGTTCCGCTGTTGTTCCTGCAAACTTTGCGTGATATCGAAAAGGAGTTTGCACCGGAGCGAAGGAATTATTTATTAAAGTTCCCATTTGTGTTACGCAACGCGCAAACGCGAAACGCGAGACAGAAGGCAGAATGTCTTCGAAGCGAAATTACTCGAGAGAACGGATACACGTCCCCGATCGTTTCAGCGAGCATTTGATTTTATGTTAAATCTGATGTTTCCATGTTCGTCTCATATAACGGAGCATCGGAAATATCATTTGCCGCGTTATCTCTGCTTGAATAATTAATTAGGAACGGGGGAGAGGGATGGCGGAAGAGAGGAGAGTTTACTAGGAAACTCGATGATCCGGCAATTTTTTATACTCAATATTAACTATTCCGCGAACGGAGTATTTAATTACGGAAATGCTTCTCGTATCTTATAATATCAGAAAGTAGTCCGATTTTGTACAAAGATATAGAATCTGTGCTACTTTGTTTTAATTTAGCATTATTAATAAGTATATTTTTCGTAGTACTTCAATGGCACATGTAAAAAGGATTCTTTTTAATGACCCAGTTTTATTTGCTGCTTTTTCTCGACGAGGTAAAAGGTTTGGACGGTATATATAATTAGTCTTCTTCATCCCTTAGACGGGAATATACAAACACAATATATGAAGCCCTTTATCCATCACTCAAGCAGGCGACCTGGCCAAAGCCGTTACCTTGCAAAACTTTATAAATAGAGAGATGAATTTGTCCCGAGAAATTTGTGTGCCGCTCCGTGCTTCGCTGGGAAGCCCGGCAAGTCCGCGCATATTATCGACGAGGCGATTAACACTCGAGAGAACGCGGTCACGCTTTCAAACGTGAAAGAAACGCGGTTATCCCGTTAACGCGTAAAGTTAATTAGATCTAAGGAAATTGGGGCGTAAGACACTAACAGATCTCGCAGCTTGCGTTGATCCTCTCGTTGGCGAACTTCGAGCCGACCTTCACGCCTTTCGCGGCCGTTTCCGGATTGTACGAGCACTCGGAGAGCAAATCAACGCCCTTCATTAGCAGCCCGTTAAACTCGTATCCCAGAAAAAGCGCGCCCTCGGTCGTCCATTTTAACAGCAGAGCTCCAGCATTTGCCTTGTACTTCGTCTCCATTAAACCGTTTAACTGTCATTAATTCATCGGTGAGTAAATCGTCCAATCTTTTTTGCCTGGCTTCAAGACGCAATACTTCTGACAATACTTAGTTTCCCAAGATTATTTGAATGTTCGGTTAATATATAATTCCAATACAATATTTCACACATTATTATTTAAATACATTTTCATATAAATCGATTATATAATGTGATTTAAGAGAGAATGATAAATAATGTTTATCGAATTTATTAATGCTGATAAACTAATAAACATTTCATATGTATTAAAATATTGCTATATAAGCGTAATCCGCATAAACATCATAAAAAACATAAAAACCCACAGTTTTTTTCCGCTTTCAAAGCGATAGTTGCCGCGAGTTCGAATTCAGTGACACGGATATATTGCTTGCATATTCCGATGGGTAATTAAATGCAAATATTGCCACTTAAAATAGTTGATTCAGCTACAGTTTCACGCAAAATTTTTCGCAAGATAAACTGCGGGACAAGAGCATCACTTGTTTGCTTTTCCCACGAATAATCGACAAAATAATTAGTAAATATTGCGCGATATTATTAACGGTAATGCAAACAAAATAGACAAAATTTATTGTTCTAAGAATTTGCAAATATCGAAATGAGAGCATAATGATTTTCGATAACCTTTGATGCCTCGAAATTCAACGTTGCGTCACTCGTCATCTGGAATCTTTTGGTAGATTTGGTCTTGACATTGAACTTGAAAAGGCCCTTGCCTTGGTGGTAGCCTGTTTTAAAAACATCCCTTGCATTTTTCCCAAGATCTGCGAAACTCGGTGCTTCCATCACGAATTCAGTATGTTGTGGAGTAAATTGTGGTCGTGCTACAATGGTAGAAAACCTTAATAAGATATATCATTACGGAGTAATATTAGTTAATTAAAAGATATAATTAAAAAAGTTTTCTCAACACAACTTAACCAATTTCTTTAAAATTATCCAAGTATTCTGAAAACCAAATTGTTTCGAATTTATATACATATATGTAAATAATTATTCTGCTTTTAGCCTGCCTTCCATAAATTTATTTAATTTCGGACATTTCATTATTATATTAATATTATGTAATATTGTATACCCTCTCGATAATTTTAATTCAATTTCTATTTAGATCGAAATAATATTAATTCAAACCAATTTAGCGCTCACGTTTTATCTTCAGAACGTGCCTTCTCGTTTTGTTAAGCGATTTAGGACTCAGCAAATTGGGGCTGCGATGTAATTCGAACGTACGCAAGGGTTCTTCGACATAACGAAAGCATGGTCGGTGTTAACTTCTCGTCGCGAGAAATACGGGGATTCGAGAAGATTGATGTCGCGATTTCTGTAGGACGGGCGCGGTCGATATTCGTTTCCTAAGCTTCACATTGCAACCCGTCAAAGAAACGGAATGAACTTGATCGGGGAAGAGAATGTGGGGCAGAATTCAAACTATCGACGTCCTCGAATCGCAGTTAAATTTCTGCGTTCACACAAGTAGACGAGTTGAATAATGGTAATACGCGACGATTATGTCACCGAATGTGTTTTGCATCGATTAACGAACGCGTTAGGATCCGCCGCGACCCTAATACACCGCTCGAGAACGCGTCGCGTATTTCTGCCGCCTTTCCGCCCCGTTTCGCAATTGCGAGGGAAGGCAAACGAGCATATATGCACATGTCGGCACACTCCACTCGCAGAAATTTACAGAGCTTTATACATCGATTTACGTCATGTAGCTCATAATTCAATCAGTGAACGCGTCGGCAAATCGCATCGAGATATCACGCGCAACGCATTTCTGTCAATTGACAATGACGTTTGCGGATGATGGGATCACCCACTCTCACTGTGTATTAAGAAATTGCCTCTCGTTCACACATCGGAAAGTATAGTGTTCGAAACACTTTACTGAAGAAAAAATCTAAAATCGGAAAGTGAATTTTTAACTTCCAACGACTTTTCCCCACAGTCTGTCAGATTAGATTTGCTTCCCCCGCGTAAACTGGGGATCTGACAAATCGAATTGTCATTTGTTGCAGCCGATGCTGGCCGATACGAGACGCGCTGGTGGCACAGCGGGGTGCGAGGAGGGCGAGACCGAAGACGGGGTTGAATATTACAGGCTCCGGTCTTTCTCCATAACGGCGAACGGGGTGTATAACTTGGGCGACTCGTTGAAGACACGCCGCAGCAAGAGCATCAACAGCGTCACCTCCTCCACCAGCTGCAGCAGCACCCGGGAAGGTAGATTACTCAGGTGAGGATAAACAGAGCGCCGAAAGTGCGCGGATAAATTTCTCCCATAACACCCGTCCGCTCGTCGGAAACGCGCGGCCAGATTCCGATTTGGGACTCGAGATTTCCTCTGTACGGCGTTGCATATTTCGAAAACATCCCGCAGTATCCGGCAGATAATTGCGTATGTGTATAACTCCGGAACATGGGATAAACAAACAACTCGTTTCGTTTCGCGGTTGTGCGTTATTGTGAAATAACAATACGCGATGTGTACCGGAGTCATACCGCATCGTGCATAATGATTGCATTCTGGGCGCGCTTGCAAATTCGCGGCTATTAAGAGAAGAAGGCCGCCAGATTAAACGAGGATAATTATAATTTCGTGCTATCGTTCGCGAATAATAACGAGAATTTTAAAAGGTACCCCGGCTAAAGCTCAACGGCTGAAGTCTGAACATTATAATTGGACTCTTTCGTCTCTATGGTTACCTACACTATAAATATAACGCGTAAAAGTATAATGCGTGTGACCGCGCGAATATAGAGAGAATGAGAGGAGAGAGGAAGAGGAAGAGGAAGAGAAAGAGAAAGAGAAAAAGAAAGAGAGAGAGAGAGAGAGAGAGAGAGAGAGAGAGAGAGAGAGAGAGAGACACCGAGGGAAAATAATCTTTCACGTAATACACGTGCAGACGTGGTGCCTCCTCCACATTTTCATCTCTACCCCTGTCTCGGGCTGTTTATTTTCTTCTTCGAGGGCTTCGTCGCAAGCCGGCGTTGACGCTTTAGAAAACAAAGAAAAATACATCAAATGTTTTTCCTCGCATGACTTTACTTTACGCAAAAGGTCCAGGTTTCCCGTGAGATGGATTCATGATATGGCTGTCGACTTGTTTGTATCCATCGGGAAGCAAAATCAAGAAACAGAGATTTTTCATGACAAACTAAAAGGTCTTTATTTAAATAAAAAGGGTGTCGTGTACGATAATTATTTAATAACTAAGCATAATCTATAATAATTGTTTAATTATTATAATTATGTGTAATAATACTGCGTTCGCTTCAAGTGTTAACAGTGGAGATACAAAAGACTTCCTTCGAGAAGAACAGTTTCTTTATAATATCTATATATACATAGTGGTGCAAACTTGAATCCTAAATGACTTTATTATAAGATAATTTAAAAGTCTCTTTTATTAATTTTTTAACTCAAATGACATGTTTGTTTTAACACAGATATTTTATATGGTCATTACATTTTGTAGGTCCTTTAGAATAAAATAACTTATATTTGATAAGGTTTCTTACATCTCTATTAATTAATGAAATAATTACGTGTATACATAACAAACAAAATATGCTAATTAATATAATTGTTATATTAATTAATTAATTTGCATGAAATTGTTATGTATGTACAGTGCTTGTTACTCGCTCTCACGAGAGAGAATTTGGACCTACTAAATTAATGACGCGGAACGGGGATTGTGTAAATCAGGAACTATCTGCGGAAGCGATTTTCCTTTGACGGGAGATTCTGACGGTTTCTATTCGGGATAATCATCTCGGAAGTTCGCGCTGATCTTCCCGGACGGTTGTTTACGCTTGCCTGAGCGTACTCGCGACCAAATCATATTCGATGCGTCGTCTTCCGCCCCGGTTTCCATCTCGCCCGCGGTTACCGGGAAGATACTCGAGTACTTGCCGTACGAGCGCCACGCGAAACTCCGAGTAATCGCGACTGCACGAGCGCTTAAAGGCGCCTTAATTGCCCCCGGATAATTACACGGCGCATAGATTGCATCCTGGGTGGGTGGAGAGTCAGCCGTAAAGAGAGTCGTCTCCGACCCTCTGTACCGTAAAAAGAGATTAACGGCGATTCTACATCCGTCTTTACGCCGATTTAAAATTTAGAGAGCTTCTCTCTCTCTCTCTCTCTCTCTCTCTCTCTCTCTCTCCGTTTTTCGGGTTTTTTCGCCGGAATTTGCCGACACGATTTTCAACACCGTTAAATCCTCTGAGAAATCGTCCCAGCCTGACGAAAGTGTACGACGCCGACGGTGACAAGTAATCCCGGTAAGTGCTTACCCAGCAAGGGGGTGAAAAGGGTTGTGGCGGCTGGAAATGTGGTGCAACACGCGTGTATCGAGAACACATGACGAATAATTTAAATTAAGTTTTCCTCTAAATGGTTTCCACAGAAAAGCAGACCTGACAGGATAGAGAGAGAGAGAGAGAGAGAGAGAAAGAGGGAGATTTTGTAATGTTATTATATCTGAATACATCCGCATTACTGCGCGTTCGCGTCTCGCAGCTCCCAGCTTGTCTTGCCACTAAGAGTTATAGATTCACAATTTACAAGCCCGTCCCTTTTACGTTCATTCTATTCCCGTTTCCTGTTTTCACAGCAAACACATATATTTGTTTAATTTTAAACAGAAGATGAAGAAAAATATGTTGAATGCTATTCCTTCGTATGATTTTATTTTACGTTAAACACAGATCCCCCGCAGGATACAGTTTTCGTTTTGATCGGTTATTTTCTCGAGAAATAATGTGCAGTTCAGATGAGAACAGAGAAAAGGGAAAACTTTTTTCATCAAAGGTTAAAAGATCCTTATGTAAGTAGAAGTAGCGGCATCGTCATAATATAGAATATTATATTATTGTATAACATAATTATATATAAAAATACAAAAGAACACAATATAATTATATGCAATCATAATATAGTATATAAATAAAAAAGAAAGCGCGATAAAATAGACATTCCAATAACGATGATAACGACGACGAAAAATTATTCTTGGATTTTTAATTATGACGCAAAATTGATATTTGTGGAGGAGCTTATCTTAATTTTGATAAAGAGAACATGTAATCGTTCTAGCATTTTTTCCACAAAGTGTAAATTATCATTATGCACAACATCTCCGCGGGATCGTGAAAATTAAAACTGCTTGTTGACGTCGCGTGTAATAACCGCGACAAGGTTGATAAAGTTCGCGCGTCGGATTTAACATGTCTGTCCCGAATAAACCGTTTATTAGATGAAAATTGTACAGGCATTGTTGCCTTAACGAAAGAGAACCGTTTTAATCGCACGTATCTGCCATAATGGTGGACGAGTACCGTGGTCGTAATTGCGAATGATCCGGATGAAGCACTAATAGAATTTCCAGAAGCGATAGTCTCGCGTAATTCGTTCGAATGTACGTAATATTTCATTCGTCGGGTTACGCTTCTCCTTTTTCTCCTTCTCAGCTCGGCCTCGCAGCTCTCCGGCATGGAGGCGGAAGAAGAAGCCGGCAACGAGCGGGTGGCGACGTACAAAGTGGGCATGCTGGGCGCGTCGGAAGTCGGGAAAACCGCCCTAACTGCACAATTCACCACGAGCGACTACATTTGCGCTTACGACGCCTCTCTCGGTAAGCACACGGCTGCTTTTACGCTTGTTTACCTTTCGTTTAATTTCGATCTAATTCGGCACCGTGACGTAGCCGGACCACTCCACGTGAAACGCCGCGCTCTCTGAGACTAACTATCGCGATTAAAATCAGATGGATATCTATCGTAATCGAGAAATGGTGATTAACGTTCCCTTCGCGAAGGGACAGACAAGCCGTTTCCACCGTGGCAGGAAATTAACGTCGTTTCCGTTTTTGCCGTTGAAAGAAGCATCCTCGAAGAAGCGTTCGCTGCCGGATGGACGTCGCCTCTGAAACTTTGCTTAGAGCAAATGATCGTCTCGCGACGGCTATTTCGCATTTAATTATTTAGCACTTGTTGCGAGTTACGCCGGATTGTTCGCGATATTACGTACTCTCATTTAACGGAATTAATTAATCTGCTGGGTAAAACGTTAACGGTACAATATATATTCACGCGAAACGCGCATTTCCCTTAAAGCGCTTTGATTGCATCAATTAACTGTTCGATTATGCCTCCGATTATTACTCCGAAATTATTCCGCACAAAGTATTGTAACAGAAGTTACAATATAAAGTTTTTGTATTACTAGACACTACAGACGCGCGCTACGCGCGCGCTATTTATCTTTAACATTTCACTATTAACCCTATTATACACAACTGTCAAAATATACAATGACAGCTGCAAATGAAGTAAGCGCAGCAAGAGAATCAATCGGCATCGCGGAAAAGCGGCAACAATAAACTTCACATCTCCTTTTTAGAAGAGGATCCTGGGAAATTACGGTACTTTTGTTCAGAAAGATTAAGTACGTTTTCTATTTTACAAATGGATTGTCGCAATTACTTGAATACTTTAACGTACGATTTAAAACGTTCAAAATCCGCTAATGCGAGAAAGAAATTTTATAATTTGGATTGCTTTTATATATCTTTTACTATATTTTTGTATGGCGCAAATTTTAATTTAAATATTTCTAGATGTAACAAAAATTTGATTAATTACAGCATTGTTTTAATTTATTTTAATTACATTAAATATTGTTCATATATATGCTTTTACATAGCGCGGTTTAAAACACGTAAATAGCTTTTTACATAATTAGTAAAACTGTATACATACAATTGATTGTCAATTTTAATGAATATCGTTATATCGCAGATTTGCAAGAAAATGTAAAGAGGGACACGTTTTCCATGTAATTTATAGCAATATATTTGGTTTGCGCCGTAAACGCGTACAGCGTTAATTATTTTTCGCGAATGGTGTCGGAGAGGAGTCACTTTCGTATGCAAGTCATATCTTCTTCGTCTCATTAGTCTTTTATACGTTTGCGCGTCTCGAACTCTCTTACATTTTCTTATGCTTCCGTGCGACGAATGGTAAGATACCCTTTTGCGAAATTGCTTTTTGCAGGGTGATCAGTCAAAATCAATGCGATCGATGTCGCGCGATCCAGCGCGTGCGAGAAAGCACAAAATCCAATCGCGTCGGCAAATGTCCCGTGGAAGCGTGACTCTCTCATTACGCGTACATACATACACACACAAACAACAATATAATAATAACCTGTAATTTAGCAGTCCAACCGGGCCAATTAATTCGCACGAGCCGTTTGTAACCTGTTAACGGAAGCAATTTTCGCTTGTAATGAATTGTCCGTGACGCGCATTGACGCTGCGCTTTTGTCCCACTCTGCGAACTCGACGGCGCTCGCTCGGAGTCGCTCGCCCTTTCAATAAGTATCAATATACCAATATATAGCTATATCGTTAACTATCCGCAATTAAAACTCGCTCGTCTTGCAATGTGCTCCATCACGGTGATAAGCCGCTCTTATCTCAGTCGCTCGAAGGGAATACGGAGAATTCTCTTTATACTTCGCCTAGCACGAACACCCGAGTATTTTGCATCAATCGAAACCTTCCGATAACCAACGTCGGTACCGGATACGGCGGATATCGTTCGAGCTCCTGTCCATCTGGTACAGCAAATACTTGAGCGGAAACGACGATAAGACAACATGCGGTACGCTATTGACCCGAAAAGAAAGATGCCTCGGTCGCTCTCTTCACCGTCTTCTCTTCTCTTTCTCTTTTATCCTTTTCCCGGGTAATGCATGTATGTATGTATGATATTTTCCGCTGGTTTCCGCCGTCGAGGTCACTCTCTCGTGGTCGATTTTATTGAAATCATTGCACGAATTCGCCGCGAGTACCGGTCCTCATCGTGAGTACCTCCGCGTGAGCTCTCAAAGCAGACCCTGTTGTATCGATTTTGCACCAAGTACTTGTCAAGAGAGGGAGAGAGAGAGAGAGAGAGAGAGAGAGAGAGAGAGAGAGGGGGAGAGAAAGAGAGCATTATCGATATTTCTGTACACGAAAGAGGCAATATATTCCTCTCTTCCCGCTTTGACGAGTTCAACCTAGATCATAATGGCCCTTCGGAAAGGAACGGTCACCGGTAGTTCTATAAAATGTCTCGCCGTTGGAGTGTAATTAAATTTGTCCCTTCGGATAAACACATTTGCGCGTATACTTTTAATGAAGGACCTGATCCTCGCTTCTGGCGGCATGAGAGAGAATAAAGAGCGTGGAGTATGACGCGCGGTGGGAACGTGTGCTATCTTACGATCCAACCGCTGCCTTTAAAGCGGGACATTAATCATTAGTTTTTGCTTTTAATTACGCGCGCGTTTGCATATACATATACGAAAGTAATACCGATGACGTGCGAGTCTGATTGATGGTCGGACGCGGTATTGCAAATGTCGATTTGCTGCGTTTTTCAGACGAGGAGTACGGGCAGAAGAACGTATCGGTGATGCTCGATGGGCAGGAGACGGAATTAGAAATCATTGATCACCCCGCCTCGGAGATGTCAGTGAGTAAAATGCGATGTTTTTTTCGGTTGCGGTGAAAAATAGCGGAGTGATATCGGAGCGCCGAGGTGATGCATCGAAAGGTCAATTACCCGACAAATGGCGTTAAATTGAGTAACTGTCGGATATGCCGGAAGGAACTTATTTGCCGCTCTCGTAAATAGAGTTATAGCACGACGTCATCTTTATCGAGTTCTCTCTATTATTGCCGATTAAATGTCGGCGTAAACCTCCGGGATACACCCCAAATATAACACGATAATGCGATAATGCGCGTAGATGAGAGAAAGAATTGAGAAACATAGGTATTCTTTTATCGAGTAAAGAAAACGAACAAACTCGAAGGGGTGAACAACGTGGAAGGGGAATTAAGCGAATTATTTCCTCGGATTTATCGAGATAAATCGGAAGAGGGCTGTTACGCAGGTGCTTAATGCGATAAAGCGCTAATTATACGTATAGATAAAAAAAACAAGGACACGTTTTGCAGTGTGAACTGTAGGATCGTTTAAGAGTTACAAAATAAAACATTATAGATACGCGAGCTATTGGAAAATAAATAACGCTTATTTTACACGTCGCAGAATTCTCTCTTGTGTTTCTATTTATTGCAATATCGCGTTTCGTTATATGAACGATGAGAGTTTTTCGATAAAATTTATTCGGCTGGAAAATGAATCGACCATCCGTTCGACCTTTTTTCGTGAATTTTCCCACTTTCTTCCCCACCTTCATCTTTTCGAGGTCGAGACTTTTTGTTCAACTTACAATCCGGACGTGTACGTGGTGGTGTACTCGGTGGTGGACAGAAGGAGCTTAAAGGTGGCCGAGGAGACGCTGCTCTATTTGTGGAAGAGCGATTATATGACGACTCACGGTGTCATCCTGGTTGGTAATAAAGTGGACCTCGAGAGGAAGCGGGAAGTTCCGTCAGTGGGTGTGTACATGAATTTCGTATAAATTCTCTCATGTCTATAGTCACAATCCGCGAATCGTTTTAACGAAATCGTTGAGAGAAAAATACTCGGAAAAATATAAATCGAGAGTTTCTCAAATTCAGTTCAACGAAAAATCCTGTGTTACATATCCAAATTTACATCATTTTAGTGTAACTTCCTTATAAAAATAACGTTTAACAAATCTATGAACTGATGTTATGAAATAAAATACAGTTTTACAGAGATTTGAAAGCTTTATACAATTTATAATGTTTACGTTAGACTTTTATAGAATAGAATTTTATTTATATAAATTTACATATACCGTGTATTTTTACGTGTATTTTAATGTATATTTTATTATGTATTATGATTCTCCAAACGTTTACCATACTACGCGGGATATAAAATTGTAAACAGAATTTTATCGACAATATATATTGATACGAATTGCAGGTCGTCTGAAGTGGACTTAATACGTTTGAGGAATCAAAATGCGCACGTACATGAAATTTATTTTATATAAAGTGCACTCACATATGTCAAAGCATCCAGCACATCCTTCCACATAAAATTATGAAGTGGAATTCCATTCTAGAATTTGGAATCGTCCATAAAGCGAGTTTTAAGTTTCAACTGCTTATATATGACATTCTCGAGTTTACCGTCCTGCCGACAGTTGGCCGCCGTTTGGCAAACAGCTGCGGTTGCAAGTTCATCGAGACGTCGTCGGGTCTGGCCCATCACGTGGACGAGCTTCTGGTCGGCATTCTGGCGCAAATCAAGCTGAATCCGCAGCGCAACCGGGACCAGGTGACCAGGCGCCGTCGCAGCAAGCAGCGCAGCAGACGGATTCTGAAGCACCTGCTCGGCTTCAAGAGGAAAACCAAGAGCTGCGAGAATCTTTTCGTTCTCTAACGTTCTCCTCGCGCAGCGTCCCGTGTACGGCGCGAGAAGAAAGAAAAGTGATTTCATCAGATCAGATATCGATCGCCCGAGCGTGTCGCTCCTCGGTCCGCGAATACGTGCGCTATCTTCGCGAATAGGTGAGCATTGTGCGACGTAGGCGAGAAAACGTATCTGATTTTAGGAGGCCACGCGACGAATCGCGGTAACGCGAGGCGCACAACCGCGAAGAATATCGAGCAGATTCTCGGGGTGCCAGGCGCAAATAACTGGGATGTCTGGGATACAAAGAAATTCACGCCCGTAATGCGTATCGATGGCGAGTAGCGCGCGAAGGGAACTAGACCTCAGGGGCTTTTGTACTCGCGCGTAAGCAAATAAATAAATCACGTCCTTTTCAACTCGAAGCTTTTTTGTCGAAGCGCAGTGCGAAGTTTGTTGCCGCTCTCATACGTAAATAATTCAAATCAGGAGGAATTAACCCTTTCACGTCCAGTGGAATACATGTCTCAGCGTTAAAAAAATCCTCTCTCCGGTAAATATTGAGTCATTGCTAAATGACTCATTTTAAAAGGAATTTAAATTTTTTAAATAAAAGTTATTGTGGTAAAAAAAAATGCTATTATAAAATATATATAAATTATTTTCGTAGTAAGATTGAAAGGTTTTCTGAAAGGTTTTAATAAAGGTTTAACAAGTGTGCAGTGTACGTGTTATCTTCGCTCAAATAAGATTTTTTAATAATGTAAATTTCTGATCACATTTATATATAAGATATAAATGAACTCTCGAATCATTTGTATCTCAACGGAAACATAATGATGATGTCGTTTGATACTTGCGGATACAAATTTTTGGACTTTGCTATGTAGTTGTCTTAAAAATTATTTTTAAAAAAGATTTTATTTTTTTACATTTGCCATATTAGATTCGCTATTTTGAATTTTCATGTGTAATCCCGCATTTTTATATTCAGCGACATCAGTGAAACCTTAAAAAATAATTAAATCAGTTCCTCTTTTCAAAAAAAGTCAACCGTGAAAAGAATAAGGGGCTTATTCAGGCTGACTGTTCGGTGAAGAAATGTAATTTTGGACGAATTTTTTTCTTTTTTTAAATGATGGAATAAAAAACATATTTTGACGTCAAAAATGTATTTATTTTTTTTAATTTTATACCTAGAAAACTATAAAATAATAACAAATCTTTGATTTCATTGTATCTTCCGCATAAAATGTTTATTGTCACGAATCTGTATTTTGGACTGTATGTAACATAATATTAGAAGGGTTGATCTGAAACACAAAATCCAAATATTTTTTTAGATATGATATTTTATAAAACCTAGTGAAGGGAAGGCTTAATTTTGGCTTTCCACAAATATTATAACTGTTTGAAAATAATTAATTTAAAAAAAAATTGGAGAAATGTTATAATTTCATTAAAAAGTCAAAACGTTAAAATCTGCCTTCACACACACCATCTCGTTAGATAGTACATATCTAAAAAAGATATTTGGGTTTTGTGTTTCAGATCAAGCTTCTGGAAATTACGCAGACACAGTCCGAGATGCAAAGTTTCGCGGCGATAAATATTTTATGTAGAAGATAGAAATTGAAAACTTTGTTCTTAATTTCTAGTCTTTTACATATAAGATTGTATAAATAAATACATTTTTAACATCGAAATACCGTATTTTTTGTTCCCTTTGGTTTCATAATGCATTTTCTCACTGAGTCTGATAAGCCCCTTAATTAAAGCGAAACACGTGTCGGTGTATGTGTGCGTGTGTTTTAAGCGCGTAAGTAATAATTTTATGAGAGCTTCGCTGTTGCTTCGCACTTTTATATCCGCGTGCGCAGAGAATGACTATATATTATTATATATATTCCGTATATTCCTGTGACACGTCATCGCGATGTTGTGATTTATCACGATGAGGATTACGTGACGCTGAAAATAGGATAAGAGCAGCGCAGCGCGATATAATATCGGAAATAAAATCATCGATAACGAAACGGGGCGTGTGATAAAAATTACATTTACGAGATGCGAATATTCCGCGTCTGATACGGGCCGAGCTGTCATAAACTCACGCGAACGGACGAATGTAATTTGCGATAATGCGGCTTTGAGGCGCAAAATTCGTTTTGGCGTTTCGGGAAGAAAATTCTGAAAGGAAATTCTGCAAAGATCTCCCAATGTTTCGCGTCATATTTATGCTGTGTATACGCATGCTAAAACGGTCTATTTGAAAGATTATCATAAGTTCGTTACTTCTCCGAATTATAGATAAGCCAAAACTGTAGCTAATAACGTAGATTATTAATGTTTATAAAGCAGCATGCTAGTATAGTAATGATAACAGTAATAACTACGTAATAATACCAATTAATAACAGGAAAGCTGATCGCTTTGCTACCTTGTGCGTCGGACATTAATTACGAAAAACACCAATTTGTACAGACATTTTAATTGTCTCTCATGATAGATCAAAGATACGGATCCGCAGCGAATAAATATATATATTACATTAAACTAACTTCATCAAATCGAGATACACGGAGATTCGTAGCAGCGAATCTCTTAAACTGAAAGAAACTGCTTCGCCGAAATCTGCGATGCATGAATCCTTCGACCGCGAATAATTGTCTGAACTTAAAGGAGAGCGTATATTCGCTGAAACACAGGCCGGTATTCATAGTCAGATCTTATATTTAAGATCGTTTTAAGTTTATCTTTAGATACTCCGTAGTCAATGAAACGAGTCATACAGCATCTGAATGACTATGAATATCGGCCACAATCAGTATGAGGATACGCTCGTCAATATTGGAATCCTCAGGCAATGCACGAATACTCTCGTCGCCGGGCTGGGATCAACAAATACAATCGACCAAGCAAATCTTGTATGCAAAGTAGCTTCGCGGAGAGGGTCAATAGTTAACGATTTAGGGCATGGATAGAACTCATGCGTGTGAAGTACGAATGATCCTGTCTATATCACACTGGTGTCTAGTCATCATCGATATTGCATGTGAACGGCGGTTGACGCTTTTATTTGGAACATATCATGCAACCCTGCGAGAGACGCGGCCATCGGTATTATTTTATGATGTCGAAATGGACTGCACCGTTGTGGTTGCATTGACCTCGTTTTCCCAAAAGGAGAAAAAGGAAGAAAGATATCCAATATTTTGATTAGATTCTGTCGTATGTACGGATTTTCCGTTGAAATCCGAGTAAAATATGAATGTTTTATATATGGATTTGTAATAAATTTCTTTCCTTTATTTTTCTGCCAAAAAAGGGTAAGTTTTCTCTTTGATCTCACTTATTGTCGTTTACCTTAAAATGATATAACGCATAAACTCTAAAATAAATACATGTATAGTATTAACACATTGATTGCTACGTCGTTCATGAATGACATATAATTTCCAGGAAGTTAAACATTGTTTCAACAAACATGTTTTCTTTCTATAGTTTACTTTTTTTCAACAAAAAAAAATACGTCACGAACTCTATTAATATTTCAATCTGAAATTATGTTTTATGGCAAAAAGAAAGAAAAATTATGAAAGGAAAACGTGTTTGGCTCTCTGAGAATATTTCATGAAATTGAATGTCATTTAAACGTAAAAGACGTGGCAATCAATGTGTTAATTTCGCGTACGTTTTTTTTCCTTTTTTTAAATTCTTTGTCCTTTTATTCGCGCGAATAACACGGTAGTGGACTGTAAGGGCGGCAAGGATTGCAGTATGGATTCGGTGGCGAGGGTGGCTGCGGCAATGTTGTCGGAAGTATAGGGGGTAGCAAAAGCCGGGGGCAACAAGATCCAGGTGTTATTGGACAACATCGAGGTGGCGGAACGCAAGGAGGCCTTCGGGGTGGAATCTCGCAAGGAATTTCTTCAATTCTCGGGGGCAAAATTATACTGTGCGACGGCGATGATGAAACGCTTGCACATTTGCTATAAATATTACAACAACACTTTGAAACTAGAATGGCTAATCGCCGGAAACTAACGATCAAGCGTTTCTCTTTTATCGCGTATTACGAAACACGCGATAATTTTGAACGTTGAGAATTATTGGGATTTCCTAAATTAAATTGCACGTACCAATTGTCAATAGCACATATTAGATATTTCAGCTCTTCCATGCCGTTCCGGCATGACTCCGATTTCTTCTTGCAAGTTGTATCCCTTATTTGTATCGACATTTTATTTTATCTTTGTTTTATCTTTATATGTTATGGTCTTTTTACTTCAACTAAATTTAATTGTAATTGTATTTAACTTTTAATTACATTGCGGGTTAAATCTTTGTGACAGATAATTTCGTCGACATGAAACTGCACTTTTAATTAAAAAAAAAAAGGATATATTGCGTTTGACGTATGCATTATATTTATATAGAGGTATGAAATGGTAAACGTAATGGCTATGTAACTGTCGCGAAAATTATGCAATTAATTCCACATGCGATACGAAAATAATAAATAAATAATAAATAATATAATATAAAATAAAATACAAATATTCACCGTATATTTGTTCCGCTTTGATGCTCCGCTGCCTGCTTGCTCTTCTCATGTTCTTTCATTTTTACTTCTTCATGAATTCTCATTTACGAAACAGGTCATTATACGATCCCATATATACCAATTCCAAAAATATGATGTGTATCTCTTACCGCACTTCTACGATGTTGAAACTAATTAAGGTCCAATCTCTCGCGCAAATACGATTATCAGTGAAATATTTTTTTTTATTAATAGATATAAATAAAAAAAGCTCTCGCTATTTCATTTTATATATGTATGTACATCAAACATAATGAGTTTTTTAATTCTTTCTAATTTTTCTTATTATTCTTTAATTAAGCTATTTAATTAAGCTTGTTTCTATTTTTTCTTTTGTAAGAAAATATTAGCCCAAATGACCGTGCGGATAGTCTTTCCTGCGGAAGTAAATGAAATTAAATGCTTAGTTGAATATGCAATAATTATATACGAGCAATTTGGTCAAACACACTATCTTCGACTCATTTTATAACGTAGTATCTTGGAAAAATGTTTAATGACAGCGTATTAATTTTCAGCACATTCAAAGTTCAAAGTTATTAGCAACGTGCAATATTGCGTACCTTTTTTAAATGCAATTATATTTTCTTTACGTCAATCGATTAATGTCACTATTTTATGCATAAAAGTATTAAAGCAAGACCATCAAAAAATGTATATTTTATGATACAAAATATTTTATATTTTGTATCAAAATATAATCAAAGTGAAATACCAAACATCTCGCTATTTAAAAAATTGAACATTAAAAAAGTGATTAACATATTAATTAAATATTAACTTAGGCAATTCGCCACAAATAGTTATATAATATAATATATAATAATGCATTAAAATACCATAAATGATTAAAACATTTGTGGTACCCAGTATACATTATTACTGAATGAAGTCATTACTGAAATGCGAGATACACGTAATGTGAACGTTATAGTTGTTATTTACATTTTTTTACAGACTATATTATGAAGATTTCATATAATTTTTATATTGTAAAATATATTTTTCCGATTTGGCAGAGTAATTTTATAAAGCAAAATTATGGCATTACCTGGAAAAGTCAGTGCTTATCAGAAATTAATGTTGAAGATCGCTTCGGTCTTACCCGAGAGATTCCGCGCCGCGTTTTTGCATCCTGCAGGTATGGTCTTGTCCAATTAAAACGTCTCTGAAAAAGAGATCGCTAAATTCACCAAAAAATGTTTTAAAAAAATCGTTTTATCAGGTCCGACCACTGTATTTTTTTGGGCGCCAACGTTTAAGTGGGGCCTGGTTATAGCAGGTATAGGGGATGTCAAACGACCCGCGGATACAATTTCTCTCAGCCAAACCGCGAGTCTTATGATTACGGGTGCTATATGGTCTAGGTATAAATATCTCTCGTTTGAGATTCATTATATACAAGGTTGATTGATGATTTATTTGAAACCGCACAATTCTAGATACTCACTGGTAATCATACCAAAAAATTACAATTTGTTCAGCGTTAATTTATTCACCTGCGCTACGGGAGCATATAACTTCATCAGAGGATTAGCATATCAAATGGCGCAGAAGTAAATGGACACCAACATATGTCGTGAAATGATTGAGAAAGAAAGTGATTTTGATACAAATGTATCTCGATTTTTATTATATAAAATTATTTAACAGTCACGCTAACTATTCGTATGTCATCGTAAGGCTTATCAGTTTTAGGATTTGTCTTCACTTGGCTGATATTTTGCACGACCTCCATTCCTTTGTAAACTCGGCCGAATACGGTATGTTTGTTATCCAACCAGGGCTAAAAAACGAATGAAATATTTGTGTTAAATGAAATCTCGCAAACACATCGTAATCAATTTCTGAAAAACCTTAAAAAGTATTATCTACTGTACAAAGAATTTATACTCACTGTCGGTGTCAATGTAATGAAAAACTGGCTACCGTTCGTATTTGGCCCTGCATTTGCCATGCTCAGAGTATACGGCCTGTCGTGCTTCAGATTCGGCTTGAATTCGTCGTCGAACTCGGCTCCCCATATGCTCTCACCGCCGGTACCAGTGCCAGTAGGATCTCCCGTTTGTATCATGAAACCTTTGATAACTCTATGAAATATGTGACCATTGTAATAGCCATTCTTCGCGTGCACGCAGAAGTTTTCCACCGTCCTGGGGACGTCCTTGCCGAAGAGATTTACGTGGATGTCACCGAGCGCCGTGTGAATTATCGCCGTGTCGTATATCTTTTGCATGTTTGTGGCCTCTGTAGAAGATATGATGTCCTCCTTAGAGGGCTTTTCGTTGAATACGTCGCGGTCGCATTCCTGACTCTTTGTATCCTCCGGCTCTCGTCTCGTGAACATGTAGAACCGATTTTTTTTGTGCGCCGTGCAAAACAACGTCGGATCGGGCCGATTCAGCTCCATCGTGGGATTCTCGGACGCCTCCATCTCAACGGTCAACGCGGCAGTAGTCTTCCTCGCTTTTCCCTATATTGAATTATTGAATAATGTATTTGAGTATTTGTAATATTGTGTACAGATGTATTTTTAATCATCAGACTTTTATTGAATACCTGGAATAATGCTAGCCGCATTGGTCGTATGTTCTCCGGCTTTCCCATGATTTTAATACAACGATTTGTGTAAAGATTCACCATTTTGACACCCAGCATAGTAGGATATAGAATAATATAACCAGACTCATCAAAAATAATATTTCCCAAATTTGTTTCAGTTTTATCCAGTTCTCTCTCGACTGCCATTCTGCCATTATAATAATAAAAATTAATATAATCCTTATTTGCTAAAGAAATTAGAACCAATTCATGTAAGATGCAATTGTCCCACCTGCGTCCAAATTCCATGTTTGGAAGTTGCTGTACGGTTTGCTGCAATTCGCTAAATCTCTGCAGCGTCTCGTCAAATATTCTGTATAGTTTGCCCGTCCGGAAATTAAAAACCCTAACTTTTCTATCTCCACTGAGAGACGCGAACCGTTTACCGTCTGGTGATATCGCCAAACCGCATGGGTAAGTCTTATTTTTGGCGAATTCAAACAGATCGGTATCCAACTTTGATTCGAACGATATGCATTTGGGAAACTTGTATTCCGTTTTCGGACCTGTCCAGTACTCTAATATTCCAGCTCTATCAACGGAGATGCACGTCTCGTACACTGGATTATACTGTTAAAAAAAAAGATGCGTTACCCTCTTCTAATTTTACCAAAATCTCGGCATTCCTTTCTGCGCATCTTCCATTATAGCCTGACTTACTTTCATAATGACAACAGGTTTAGTGTGCAGCTTCTCGAACACGTGTAAAGGTGTACTTGTTCCCTGGCCATCATAGATATATATCTTGTTGGAATCTTGCGAAGACACTGCCACAGCGGATATTGCATCGCCAGCTGAGTAAACCCATTCGGCGCAAAGTGGCTCAAAGTCCAACGTTATCATGTTTATCATATCTTAAATAACATACAGGACAGAATAAATTAAATATATTCTCTACGTATCTTAAATAAGAGTCACGCGTAAACTTTCTTACTTACCGAAATTAATAACGTCGAATATTTTCATAGTTCCTGTAGTTTTTTTCGTCGAGGTTTCTGGAATTTTAACGATTTTATCTATGCTGACTGAACATACGTGAACACCGTTGCAGCTGGCAGACATTGAATGTATCGGCTTTAAGTGCGCTCGAAAGTGTTTTACAAATTCTATTAATTCCTCCTGCTTTTTCCAGAATTTTATATGTCCGTCGCAACTGGCGGTTATCACGAAATTTGACCTGTAACAATAAATTTAAATAACAAGCCTTTCAGAAAGAAAACTGCTACACATTGTTGTAATTATTATTTCTAAAATACTAACTTTGTTACTAAAATATGAGTGATGACATCCCTATGCATGTAAGATTTCTCATAACATTCGCAGCATGGCAAATTATCTATGTAGACTTGTTCATACTCCAAGACTGTAAAATTATACAGAAAGTAATTAAAACATGTATGTAATTCCTTAGAGTGATGTAGATCTTTTTATTTATCAAACAATATCAAGCGGGACAATAAAAAAATCAAAATTTCAAAAAATTAAACCCCCCATGGAATAGAGAAACATATTACATTTACATTCAATTTGTATTAAGCAATTGGAAAGTAATTACATCGTATGTGCGATAAGTAAGAAGGTAAAAAGTGAGATAATAGATACATGAATTTCAATTAGCATTTATTGATGGGAAATTAAATGAAAACAGCCTTGGTTAGGTTAGTTAACCTCGTTGCTTCTTTTGCGGCGCAGCTTCCGAAGGTAGCGGTCCGATCCAACCATCTTCTGTGTCACTGCCTTCGTGCTCACGTTTTTCACTCATTATTAGATAATATTATCAATTTTAATGAATACAAATATACATTTAACCTATAGATTCAGAAATGTTTACGTTACAGCGAGCTACTGCTCACAGTTCAGTCACAACTGTGGTTGAGTTTAGCTGCACCTGGCTGCACCTTGTTAAAAAGGCGAATCAATCTATCCTTATTTTAATCTAATGAGCAATAAAGATAGAATGACATAATAGTGCTGATAGTGCGCTTCCGGAAACCAGCCTTCGGTTTTCCCCTCTTTGATTCTCCCCTCCTCTCACGCTTTCTATCTTTATCTATCCTTCCAAGCTCCTAATTCATTACACGCTATTATTATATAACTATTCAATCTCTAAAATTGTATCGATATATTAAGGAAATCAAAATTTCTTTTATTTTTATTTAAAAATATTACTTGCGCAATATATTTGTAGGATATCTAATATCTGATGAATGTGTGAGTTCAGTTTTATGTTGCTAGGAAGGCTCTCTTCGAGCTGGCGTTTCGTCTGGATGTTTATATTATTGACATTTTTGATATCTCTTTATCCCTTATCAAGAGGAAGAGGAAAAGAAAAAAGATAAATGGAGAAAGAGGTATGGTATATTAGAAGCATATCGTTTGAGAGAAATGTGGCGTGATGGTCCTTATCGCTGATGAAAGAGGACATTAGTATAACGAGATACATTATTAGTAATAAATAATGTTGTTTTACTTTAAAATCTTTAAATATATGTAATTTAGAAATAGACAATGTATTTCTAGTTAAAATTTAAATAATAATTTACGCAACATGCAATTAAAAATCAGAAATTACTGGACACATGTATTGCATTGGCCAAATAATTTTTATTTAAGATAACAATATGAGAACATAAAGTAGTAAAAGGTAACTTCACTTTTAGTAGAAACAATCTGCTGCAATTTATTCAGAAATATATATTATATATATATATATTATAAATAAAAGATAAAAGTTTAATTTTGACATTTACAATATCACAAGGATTAACAATATCAAATATCTTTAATTTATTTAAATCTGCCAAATTTACTGTTGAATCTGCTTTTTATATTTTGCAAGCTTTTAGACAGTCAGATTGTAATAACATCTAGTTTTAGAATATCTTTATCTTTTGACTTGATGCGGCAAAACTCGCATGTAAACAGTTTTCGATTATAGATACTGCTAATGGAATGCAGAAATGGCACATAGACCCATGCTTATTTTCGACTATACCGCCACGCACTTTTTATAGTTTTCGTTCTAGTTTCTTTACACTTTGTTGAAAGCCGCGATGTCGACGCTTTGCACGTAATCCTCGAGTTCTTGAATCTGTTCTGTCAACCAATCTACCGACACTTTGTCGTCTTCCACGACGCACGAAATCTGTAGCTTGTGAATTCCAAAAGCGAGCGGCACAAGTTTAGCTATGAAAGAAGGATAGACCTTAACTATAGAGTTCGTACGTAATATTAACGACCGAAAAATATTATGGAAACTTACAAGCACCCCAGAGAAGACCGTCAGTTTCGATCTTCCGCACCGCCTTTTCCATTTCTTTCATGTCCGTCTCGTCGTCCCACGGTTTCACATCCAGGATGATACTTGATTTAGCTATCAAGACTGGTTCTGTAAGATACATGTCGATTAATAATGATAGATAACATATTATGGATAATTGAGCTGCGTTACATACTTTTAGACTTCTTTGCAGCATATGCAGCAAGCCGTTCTTCCCTAATCTTGGCAGCCTCTGTATCCTCTCCCTATCAAATCAAATGTAGCAAGATGTTTCGTAAGCGATAGTTATAAAAACAGACGGATTTCATAATTCGCGAAAGAACACTATTATATACTGGATTTATATGAATGTGAAAAAAGTGCTAATATTGGATGAAACAGTATTATGGGAATATCTGGTGTATGTCAAAAAAATAAATGTCACAATTTTATATAAATATAAATTCGCATATTTTAACATTCATGTTAATTTAAGAATATCAGTGTGTAGTGTTTAGTTACTTCTGTGTCATACGAAATTAAACTTAAACATTCGCCTTAGACAAAGAGACCAATTAATACCATTTCTACTGTCTTTGCTCACTTGCCTCTGAATCGGAACCAAACAGATCAATATCGTCATCGTCATCTCCTTTTTCTTTGCTCTGCTTCTGCTCAAACTCTGGTTCCTCAGGTTTCGCAGGACAAATTGCTATGTAAGGTACGCGTGCCTCGAGGCTTTCCAAACGTTCTTCCAAAGTTTCAACAGTTTTCACGCGATTCACCAATTTTTCAACAGTACTCTTCAGGTCCTGAATGACTATTCAAAAAGATTTTCAAGTCTTGATACATATTCGTTCAATTATGCTTGCTATTAATCTATAAGACTGTGTATCGATACAATAGCGGGAAATTATTGCAGTTTGATATTTCTTTTGCGTTATCTTACCTAATATATATTTTTGACTAACATATTTTTATACTTACATAATGTTTTAAAAGAATAATCAAAAAAGTGTATAATAGCAATAGCTAAGACTCATAATTGTGTATTGTCAGATATATTTAATTCGTGCTAAAACTATTTTAGGTGCGACATATAACTACATAATTCATGGAATAAAATAAATTATTGATAATTAGCTTTATTTGGTGGGATGTGATACGTGATTTGAATCTATATGTACTATATACAATATATCTTAGCATCTATATGATCAGATATATTATATCTATAATATATCTAATACATCTTATAAAAATATTTAATTAATAAATTATAAACGAAAAAAATAACAAATGTAATAAATTATTAAATGTATTAAATTATTACCTGAATTTTTCATTATTTATTGCTGATAGTTTTCATATAGAACTTTTTGACATAGAGAACTAATATTTGCATGTATCATAATACTTGTAATAATTATAATAATTAATATGTAATATACGTACTATTTCGGAGATCCTGATTTTCTTTTTCAAGTTTGACGACACGAGGTGTAACATCTTGATTTGTATGGGCAAGTGCTGCAAGATCATCCATCTGAAAAATATTATTTAATGTTCTAAAAATTATACTTCTTACTCTAGTACTGAGATAATTAGTTGGATAAAACACAATATGGAATAAATTTGATTGTTGGTCTTATTCAGATCCATGAAAATTCTAACATTCAATAAAATATGTTTTTATAATTAATACATGAATGTATTAGTAATATTAATAATTTATTGTCAATAGTACGTCAATATACGACAGACATTTTCATGAGAATAAGGAAAGATATTTAATAGTTATTTTACAAACGTAAAATCCTTTTTCATTTAATATTCATTTTTTTATATTCGCAACATTAGTTTTATATTCTAAAATGCCTAAGAAGCGATGAAAGGCGATGCGAGAATAGACTTAAATAATAACGTTATATTAGTAAGCAGATTGTGTGAAAATTATGTTATAAAGAGCGAGCTAAGAGAGTGCAGTACTCACACACTGTAAAGACTGTTTAATATGCTGCCGAGCCTTCGCAACCTCATTGGCCAAACTTCCAGCAGCGGACAAGATTGGGCAAGTGGACTGTTGAGCTCCCTGCATCCACCGAGATTAAAAGTAAGCTCACACCCAGATTGATTATTCAAAACGACTACATGCCATATCTCCACTAAAGTTTACTTTGCATTAATAACATTAACAAAATCAAATATTAATTGAAGATCAGGATATACAGGTATATGTATACAACAGAATATTAAAATGTTTCTTGGTTCTCTAAAGATTTCTCTTTCTTTTTAATAAAAAAAAAAAAAATAACATAATTTCTAATAACGGTATTGATACAAGTAAGCATTACTCTTTTGCAGTAAAAATATTAATTAGACGTTATTAATTTCATTAAAAGAAGACATATATTTTTATTTTTATGGAAAATATAAATAAAAGCTACAATTGTATAAATATTTTCAAACCATTCTCAAATACCCATTTTTAGATATTAATTAAACAAACACACATGTGGAGATAGACATTACAACATATTATGGCGGAAATATTAAGAAGTGGAACAATACTATATTTTTTTTAATATAAAAATGCGGCAATGCGGGCAATGTACCACAAAAATCAACAGTATTTACAAATTAAAGTAAGTACGTCTTTATTAGCATATGTTTTTATAGAGAAAGAAATGCGGGGAAACTTACTGAATTATTAACTATGAATAAACATGCAATTAAAAACTCATAGAATACACAAATACAAAAAAGAAAACAGAAAATTATCCCAAGCATTTCTATTTTTTAGCGATGTTAGTACTATTAAGCAAGCTGTTTAAGAGTTGGCAACGTTAAAAAGCTCAAAAGCATCTTTAAATAAAAAAAGTAAAATTTGTAATTTTATTCTATTGACAAAAGTGCTATAGAATGATAGTTTATAATCAAATTAAAATAGACTTTAAGCCTTTTGCGAATACAACAGGCGCTTCTTTGTTATTTAAATAACCAAGAATGTGTAAATGCGATATGATACATGCATATACCATGCATATTTATAGCAAGCAAAGAAATACACATGCATATTGTTACAGTAAAGCTGTCAGTACAAGACGAAAGTAAAATGGAACAAAGAAACAGATGCCATTCTTTTAATTGCAAAACGTAACACGACGCGCTTTTCTACGACAGTATAATGAAATAAAATTAACGTAAAGTCAACTGAAGATACAATTCGTCTATATCGCGTCGAGATACAGAGATACTGAACAGTAACCCACAGATTGCATTGAAGCATATACCTGATCGGGCAATTGTTCTTTATTCCTCGCGAATGGCACTGCAGTTTCTTTATTTCCCCCGACATCGTTTCTTCCACTTCCCCTATTTTTATTTTTCGTATCTTCCTTATTCCTTTTCTCTTTAGCCTCTTTCGCGTTATACTTTTTAGATTTCTCGTTCAGAGAAGCATTCTCCTTCTCCTTCGCGTTATCCCTCGCGCTATTGAATTTCTCGCTTGTCTTTGCATTTTCTTTATTCTGCATGTTGCACACGTCCGCGGCATCTTTATTGACTTTTGCGTTTCTTCCTTGGCATTTGGAATGTTTCATATTCGATTCATTCGACTCATGAGCTAGCTTGTTGTCTTTAGACTTTTCAGCCTTCGATTTCAATGCATTAGTATTGATTAGATCTTGGCACTTGTCAGGTATAGAATTGTCAGACTTAAGCGTGCAGCCTCCCGCAATCTTACGAGACACCACCTTGAAACATGTTCCAAGCTATGCAAGTATAGATCAACGTCTTCCAAATAACGCAAGAAGCAAAAACAAAATCATTTCTTTTGTGCAACTGATACATACAACTGCTACTCGACATATATTATAATTAAACACGTTCATGTAATCATGTAGTGTTTAAATGTGTTGAAATATAAGCATTAGATGTATAATTGCGTGAATTATCGAGAGATATGAAAGAAACGTGACTTACGATGTTAAAAAGACCACAATACTATTTTATTAGTTTATTTTTAAAAATATAGAAATAAGTTTGACATAAACTGAGAAAAAATTTTACGTTTCTCACTGTACAAAATTTCTACCGACACCTTGTGAAGTATGAAGAGAGAAAGAGAGCAAAGGTAATTTTGTTATCACCAGATATTCCCGCGTATGTGTGTTAGAAATGTTAGTAAGTTATACAGTAACACAAACATGATGCATACACAAACATAGGAAAATGACAAACGCGCACTAGCTATGGATGCTATGATTAAGACTAGTAATAATCCACTTGATGAATTATGAATGTACTTTCTCAAAGGAAAGATTTTAAAAAACAAAACTCGATGTTATATACTTAATATTCATGATTATTGAAAGTAAATGATTTACCCAATGATCAATATGTTTAAACATTTTTACTCTATCCCATTCCCTGCCGACAACTCTGTTTATTTATTGAGCAGTGGATGATCGCAGCAATAACAACAATTCCTTACCTTGTTCATTTTCTCATAATACTGCCGTTCTGCTCTGTCGTAGGTTGGCTTATCGAACCATACCTTTTCTTTAGTTAGCGCAATGCTTGCCATTGTAGGAGTTGTCATCTCTTTTTCGGTACTTTACTTTTATGAAGCAAAAATGCTATGAATTTCTGCAAACAAGATAAGAGAAGCAAGATATAAAAAAAAAGGTTCAATTTGCATGCGGTAGTAAATATGGTTCTTCAAATTACTCCTCTCACACCGCGTTCAAGACTCAGTTTAAGAATAAGGATATCATTAATTAGTATAACATTCATTATATTTTATTGTATAAAAATACAAACTTTTATATCTAATATAATATAACAGTAACGTATCTGTTAACGGCGCGTAATTATAAGCTTAATACAATTAGAGAATCAAAATTAGCAAAAATTGAGAACAAATTATCTATTAACTTAAGAGAGAATTATCATCATCATTATTATTAGATACCTAGCGGTTTACCTTTAACTTCGCGCTTAAGAATTTAACATGTATTTTTAATAATTTTAAACTGCATCGCCCCTTTCTTTTTTAATTTTATTTTTAATTTCACGTAGCAAATAAAATACTCTGTATTTTGCATCTTCTGGACATACACAAGGATATATATCCTCTGGTTTAAAGTATCGTATAAATTCCTCAAGTTCATGACAAGAAGCATGTGTGGAGTAACACACATTAAACGTCCTGTTCCTAGTACAATCCCATTCTCCAACTACACTCGTATCCCTGCCCTTCCATTTCATTACTGACGGTACAACAATTAATATTTCCTTCTCGAGGATATCAGTACGACATTTCAAACCGTTCAGGTTTAGAACGTCTAGTTTCCCCATACATGCATGTATACGCGTAGCGAATGGATTATTTGTAATGTGATGTTCCAAGTCACCGATACGACAATAGCTCTCATATACGTAATCCATAACGTGAATAGGTAAGTTAAAAAATTTTGACAGCTCCCTGTAGAGATACTCAGAACCATATGTAGCGGAACATTCCAGAATAACGACATTCCTTGAGCTTTTATCTAGCCATTCCTTCACAACTTTATACATCACATTCATACTGTCTCTTCTTGTCGGGAAATAGGCAAAATCGCGATCCAAAAATGTTGTGTCTAAGTACATTTTGGCAAACTTCTTTGGATAGCTATTATTGAAATCTATGTGATGCAGCGGACTTAGTTTTTCGTAATCTCTTGGATTGATTCTAAAATCTCCAGTATATAATATTAATTTCTCCATTTTTTCAAAAAGAAACATCACAGAGCCGGGACAATGTCCAGCAGGAATACATGTTACATAAAGAACAGTCTTTTCATCGTCACCTACGCTTTTATACTCAATTTCGAATTTTTTTTTTATCTCAATGTCCTTTACGCAGGTTTCTGAATTATCATACTTAGCTTCTAAGAATACTTTACTGATAGGAGTACAATAAAGGTACTTTTTATGCTGTCTTAAATGTTCAAAAAATGCATAGTTCAAGCCTTTCATATGATCAGTGTGACAATGGCTAAGAAAATACGCAGAGGATTTCAAGTTTTCTCCATCAAAACGATCCACCGAGATGCCTGGTATCTCCTCGATAAGCCCAAGGAACGTTGACATTCTGATGCATAAAATGTTCCTGTAATGAAGAATCCAGATATCAATCAAGCTGACGGAAGCATGTTTAATGCGTAATAAGGCAATAACAACATGAAGTGACAAAACCATTAAGAATAAATAAATCATTTAATTGAAAGCTGAGGATTTGTATTTAGTAAATCTTTTTTAAAACACTTAATTAACATTTAGCTCGCATAAACAAAGATGTTCTAAATGAAACAACAAATAAAAATTTGATTATATTTGCGAACACAATTGTGCCTACCAACTCTATCTAAGCAAATATATCCTTTGTGTTATCAAAAGTTATTAAATATCACACAAAGATCATAATTTTGTAAAATATTTAAGATTTAGTTGAAATTAAATAATGCATGATGTATATATTACATAAATTATCTTTGGTTAATAATAGGCAAAATTTGACATCAAATTATGCTGTAGTTATCGAGGACCAAGGTCGTAACAACCAATTCGACCTCGATGAAATGCTCTTCCCATCTTTTGCGCCAACCAAAGCTTGGAGCAAAAAACCAGATTAAAATTAATTAAATAGATGTTATAAAGTTAAGTTACACCCAATTATAAAATATTTAAATATATAGATGTTATGTATGTTAACTAATATCTAATCCAATATATATGTAATATTAGATAAATTAATATCTAAAATATAAGATACACATATTTTAGATTAGATATTTGAAGGTTAAGTGCTTCGTTCACCTTGATACCTACTTCACAAAATCTGAAATAATTGCATAAAAAAATTTAAAAAATGTTTGAATTTCTATTCTACGTTCGTTAATACAACCAGGTTACCGAATCGTCTACCGAATACGGAGATCTTGAAAAATCGCCGAATTAGATGCTTGCACGTACATACGCGTTCGCTCGTTTTTAATTGAAATAGCTGATGGATATTATTGTAAGACTCGACGGACCGATCTTCCCTCGAAATTTCATTGAGATACAATACGTGCAGCGTATCTCACCCCGATCTACCATCAGTATCGATCGGCGAGTTCATACGCATTCGCAAATTTTTCGGAATGATTCAGCCAGATGGTACGTAAGCGAGAATCGAGGGAGAATCGGTTCCGCGCAATTATTCTGTCAAAGATATACCTCAAGCCGCGTCCAAATACCGAAATTGGCTCCAATAATCGTTCCAAAATCGTGGCCAAAATTGCAGTACGTGCCGGAGGAAACGTGCAAAGGTACGAGGATACCAGATTCCAGACAATACGACTTTCCTGCTTTCCTCTCCTTCCACCACGTGCAGCAAATTTCTCTATTGGATACCAAGAGCGTTCTGAAACTCACCGGGAAAGATTCACTAGTGGCTTATATTTCTACGTGCTTTTATGCTAGGTCTACAATGCGAGTCGTAAAGTCGTGAGTCGCAAGAATTGACCAATCACAGTCGATTATTCTCCTCAAATTCGTCTGTGATTGGTCAATTCTTGCGACTCACGACTTTGCGACTCGCATTGACCCAGCATTACCGTGGGAGGAGCCATTCCTTCTCGCATCTCGGACCTTCTGATTGGTCAAAGAAAATGACTACTGCGCATGCGCATCCTTGGACTTGCTACTTGCTACACGCTACACGTCTTCTTTTCTTACGTCATGATCGGAGCATTCAGAGCTGTTCGGAGCGTCCGGCAGACCGGCAGTCGAAGTGAATACTGGTGAATACTTTGAAAGTGTTGTACCAGAGTTAATCGTTTTTCTGCCGTTCCTGACGTACGTAATTGACAAAATAAGATAAGTGTTACACGAGATACGAGGATGCCTCCAAAATGTAAATTTCAAGAAGGTATGGCCTTTTGTTTCTCTTTGTAGAATTTCCCCTTCGTATCTTTGATTATAGGCGTGATTGAGCTAATTGTGGCTTATATTTTAGGAGAGAAGGTTCTGTGCTTTCACGGGCCATTAATCTACGAAGCCAAGTGCTTGAAGTCGTCTATTACCAAGGAGAAGCAAGTCAAATATTTCATTCACTATGCTGGCTGGAATAAGAAGTAAGATTTTGCATATGTGTATCGTGTGCGTCAGCTGTACTAGGATTTATTTATACGAAGCAGTATTATTTCTATAGATTGAGAATGAGCATTCGTATCACCGTTAACAAGTACAATAAGTCTGTAAGAGTAAAGATATTTTGGATAAAAGCAACCTCATGAGAGACCTTGTTCTCCTATTCATATTTTTGTGTAGAATTTTAGTTGAAATAGATTTATATATTTAGCTCGTTGAGCTAATATACACCAAACTGTATTTTTGTAAAAAAAATAGCTGGGATGAATGGGTTCCCGAGAGCAGAGTGCTCAAATACAACGAGGCTAATGTACAGAAACAAAGGGAAGTCCAAAGAGCGCACTCGAATCAGCAATCTGCTCAAAAGAACAAAAAGGGAAATACAACGACTAAGACACAGGGGCGAAGGAGCGAAGGAGGTAGAGAGAAAGATGCAGACAGCAGGTCGAGCACGCCTGTAGCTGACAAAAGTATGAGTCGATTTAGCAAGAGTTCAAGCAGCACGGTAACTCCTTCGTCTTCTCACGAGTCCGTGTCTGAGCCGCCACGTAAAAAACGAAGGTTTGTTACATAATGTTTAATGTCTCCATATTGTATATTAGAATCTACTGTAAGAAACACTTTTGTGAATCTCTCTTTTTTTTTTTTTTTTAGTCGGCTAGAGCCGTCCGGCGAGACTGAAGAATATCTGACGAAGATAGAGGTTAAGATTAAGTTGCCTGAAGAATTGAAGCTGGTGCTGATAGACGAATCCGAAATAATACTGAAGCATCACAAATTACCCGCGTTACCCGTACAAAATACGGTCGACAAAATTTTAGACGATTACGTGGAGGCAAAATCAGCCGGGAAATCCAACGACATTAGGTAGAATGCAATTGAGAATCCATAATTTTCTCGTTATGCTGTTACAAGTCACAATTTGCAAACATATATATATGTGCAATTTAACCTTGTTTTAGGGAAAGCACATTAGAAATAACAAGGGGTATTCGGGAATATTTTAATATCACATTGGGCCTTCAACTGCTGTATAAGTGGGAACGGCCGCAATTTATACAGATAACGAATGACCATCCGGATACGTTTCCAAGTCAGTTGTACGGAGCGTTCCATCTTCTCAGGCTATTCGGTAAAAAAGCGTGCTCTTCGCAAAATTGCCATTTTCAAACGACGTATTATTTAGACGACAATTTTAATCTTGCAGTGCGACTTGGCGGCATGCTGTCTTACACGCCTTTGGACGAGAAGAGTATACAGCTATTGCTGTCGCATTTTCACGAGTTCCTGCAATATTTGCAGAAGAATAATGCCGAGCTTTTCAATCTTCAGCAAGACTACACAGATCCATCACCGGATTATCATCGGAAGTACGGTTAAATCACGAGTAATTATTCTGCAAGTTTTTTTTGTACTTGAACAAATGTATTATTTCTATACACAATAATCGTTCGATCTCACATGGGCAGCGACGCTATTTGAATTCATTTATCATGCAGCTATCATATAACCACGTTATTTTAAATAGATTGACATAATTAGCTACAATTTTTTTATAATAGCGCAAATAAATTAATCGAAACAAAGACGGCGATAATCAAGAAATTATTTACGACGATCAAATACACAACGATTTTAGGGGCCTATTTTGTAAAATGCTAACGACGTATCATTACGTGTTTGGCATAGCTTTTTTTATGGTACATCTACCTGTGCAAAGCACGTAATGATAACGTTTACAGAATAGGCTCCTTAGTTTAGATATTTAGATACCAGACTAATAAATAGATCTCGAGACTCAATTAAATATAAATTCGAGACTCAATAAAATATTAATTATTTATTAAATATCTATTATATAATATTATATTGTAAAAAATATATAATTAGAATGAAATGTTCTCCGATATATTCTCTGAAGAATTTGAAAGATTGAAAGTTGTATTGGATGACCAATACGCCTACTCGACAGTTTCAAATAACCAGTACTCGTCCGACAGAAACGACCAATCAGCGCGCGGCACACATAGTTGTCCATATTCACTCCCTATAGGACGCCATTAAACGTCGGTCGGCCATCTTGCAAGGCGCCGAGCGCGATCGAGTCTCTCGCCGACGTTCGACGTGGAAGGACGGTGTCCGTCGTTCGCCGTTCCTGCCGCGTTGGTTCCCGGGGCAGAAAACCCGCAGTCGATAACGGCACGCGCACGTATTAGGACGCGCCGGGATTGCGTCTCGCGTCGCGGCGGTGCAAATGCGCGCGCCAGGCGAGTACGAGCCAGTCCGCGAACATCGGGCCAGTCAGTCAGTGGCAGGAAAAAATGGCGGATGTCGACTTGAATATCGATAACCTGATACAGAGATTGCTGGAAGGTATGTGATTTGCGATCGGGGCGGCCGACGCGCGAGAGACGCCTCGTACGACGCTCCGGCCGGCGCGTACTCCGCCTCGTCGCCGCGCGTGTCGTCGCGTCCCCGCGTCTCGCGCGCGCGAACGCGCGCCGCGCCGTCCGCGCGCGGTCGACGGGAAAAAAAATTCATCGCCGCCGCGGCGTAGCCGGGCTTCTCGGACGCGACGCTACCTGCACGGTGCGACGCGATGCGACGTGACGCGACACGACGCAATGCGACGCAACGCGACGCGCGAGTCGAATCGAGCGCTCCAGTTTCGCGCGATTGCGAACGCGTCCGCGCGCGTCATTTTACATATTCGCTCGTCTTTCGTTCTCGCTCGGCTCGGTCTCTCGCGGTCCCGTCGCGTCGTCGAGTCGTCGCGCGTCGGCCCGGGTCCGGATCCGCGTCGCGAACCCCTTCCTCTCTTTCCGTCTCTGTCTCTCTCCCTCGCGTATCGCGCGGGAGCCGTGACGCGGTGTTTCGACCGCGCGCGTCCTTCCTCGGCGATCGGATTAAAAGCCGCGGGGAAGATATCGATCTTGCCCCGCCGGACCGTCGCGCGGTCATCGCCGTCGTCGCGATGCGTAAAC